CAGACTCTGAAATGTGTCTTTATACCCTGATGGGGAAATGTTATCTATCCTGCGTCTATTTCCCTTTTTCTTCCAGGGAAATAAATGCTCTCCACTTGAGAGATTTCAATCATCCTGAATGGTTCATATGAAATTAGGCTTCCCAGTCTTGTCGACGACTAATTACGTTCGCACATCATTTTAAGTAGAATCGCTCCCGTGAAATCCCGGCTACATTTCCACGCGGTGAGGTTTGGTTTCCTCTGCAACACTCTGCAGGCCGAGGTAAAACAACAGCTTCAAACGGACTACCACTCGCTGATTTCTCCAGGGCCCGTTATTCCTTTTTTTACTTCTCCATTCCATTTGATGCCCCCTTACAAAAAAAAAGCAAGATGACCCCCGGGAGCACAAATGAAAATGTGATAATTCCCTTTCTTTTCTTTTATCCTGAGCACCTTTTTGCGGCCGGTGGAACGTCTGTGTCTCACCTCCTCGTCCCTCGTTTCCTCTTAATTGCCTCAGTGGCGGTGGAAAAGGGGGAGGGGGGGTTTCTTATATCCTCCTTCACCCCTCACTCCTCACCGTGCACTGACCTCTGACTTGTGATGGGGGGGGGGGGTCTTCATTAACTCTTAATCAGTGGCTATTTAACATTTTCACATGTGCAGCTTGTGATAGATAACCATGTGTTTCACTTTTTCTCTTGAAGCTGGCTTACTGTAGGTGTCTTTTAATACCAATGCTTTTTATTGTGTGTGTGTGTGTGTGTGTGTGTGTGTGTGTGTGTGTGTGTGTGTTGTGTGTGTGTGTGTGTGTGTGTGTGTGTGTGTGTGTGTGTGTGTGTGTGTGTGTGTGTGTGTGTGTGTGTGGTGTGTGTGTGTGTGTGTGTGTGTGTGTGTGTGTGTGTGTGTGTGTGTGTGTGTGTGTGTGCGATCAGAGAGAATGCAGAGAACTGTAATATGAAGGATATTAAAGCTGTAATGTTTAGGCAAAAATAAACAACTATTTTGAAAATCTGAATTGTCATTAATAATGAGAATAAAATAATATCCTTGTGAAAAATATATTTTTTTTATATATATAGTTGTTTTTAAAGAACATTTCATATTTTTAAATGAATCACTTTTTATTTATGTACAAGAAAATGCTCTTCAGCTTCTCTGATGTGGATATTTTATTGCTATTCTATGTTTTTTCATAATGAAATGTAAAGTATATTTGTTTGGGACTGACAGAACAACACATTTAAAGAATGTATTAATCTATGTTGACATTGAATAGACCCAACAATTAATGAATTACTCTTTCATAAATAACGAATATAAAATCCAAATAATGTTCTTGTTCAAAGGGATAATTTGTTTTGATGGTAAATGTTTCAAAATGTGTAAATTAACCACGTTTTATTTATTTGTATTTAAATGATTTTTCCATGATTGCAGTTAATGTTCACACACTGCATGTACTTTCTTGCCCCTGTAAAGAAAACTGGTTTTGCTCCTCCTACACAATGTGATATGGCCTACACATGAGCTTGTGACAGTTAACATGCCACAGTGTGTGTGTGTGTGTGTGTGTGTGTGTGTGTGTGTGTGTGTGTGTGTGTGGTGTGTGTGTGTGGTGTGTGGTGTGTGTGTGTGTGTGTGTGTGTGTGTGTGTGTGTGTGTGTGTGTGTGTGTGTGTGGTGTGTGTGTGTGTGTGTGTGTGTGTGTGTGTGTGTGTGTGTGTGTGTGTGTGTGTGTGGCTGGCCAGCAGGCCTGTGCTGGTACAGTATATTGCCTGCAGTCACTATAGGCAGCTGTGTGAAAATGTTCCAGCTCTGAATGTTTATGTACACCTGGAGAGCGCCACACCTTCGTGAAATTCATAACGTCAGCTATTCCTGGCATCCTCAGAATGTCCTCTTTTGCACACCCTCATTTCTGCAGAGTAGATTAGAGCCGGGCTCGCTGGATCCCTCCAGTTATTAGCCCAGTACCACTCTCTCTTTTTTTTTATACTATCTTTAGATGGTGATATATGTTTTTTCGTGGATCATCTGGAGTCATGATGTTATCCGGGAGATAACGGAGGGAGTGCACCATATGGGAGTGCTCTAAATGGCGACTGGCGTCCTGTGTTTGCGTTAAATGGGCATGATACAGCGGCCAGGGCAATATTTCTCTCTTAAAGTACCCCCCCAATACACCCTCCTACCGCCTTTCCTCTCAATAGGATCCAGTCTTAGGCAGATTTTCACTCCTTCAGCACAGGATTAAATGGTAGTAGTTACATTGATCAATAGGTTAAGAAGCATACAATCCCTCTTGCTGCTAATGACCTCAGTAGTAATGGGTAATAAAATGGGGGTGTGTAATAGCCTCTTGCACAGAGGAGGCTGCTCCGGCTGTAGTTACAGCAGCCAGACGCTCCTCACAAGGCGGAGTGTGAAACCATGATGAGATCTAGGTGTAAAGAATTAAGACGGTTAAATTGAAGGAAATCCCGGTGTAATTTGTAATGAAATTGGCAGCTATCGAGAGCCGGGGTGTGTAAAACCTCACACTCTATATAATATGGCTTGACAAAATGATTATACATTTGAAAATAAGACCGCTTTAAACACGGTAGTCAAAAAAATAGAGCATGAAGTAGATTTTGAACACACATTATTATTTATCCTCAGTGTGCGTGGGGGGTAAATGTCATGTTTAGACGGGAACTATATATCACGTCACGTATGGCGCTTGCGTGTCAGAAAGACGTGGGTTGACCTTCAAAATAGTTCATCAAAATTAGAAGGGAAAGAAAGGACTTCAGTGGATAATGACTGTGAAATTAGGAGAATGGGAGGCCGGGGCTATGCAAATGACAGGACAAGTCATGTGCAAAAGTCAAGATGAAGTGCATATTAAGACATAATACAGGGGGGAATTAATATTGCATTTTTCTGCTCCTCGCGTCTGCTTCTGGAGATGTGAAGTGTGTGTTAGTCCTCCTGGGTGGGGCTGGTTCTCCGTCACTCTCCTGGGGGCTGGAGGCGGCACAGTGTGGCGTTGAGTTAACGGAGAGCATCAAAGCCGCTCCTTTCCTATTTGACATCCCTTGCCCTTTCCTCCACATTTGCTCTGCATGTACCGTTCATTATGACTTTGTTTTTGTTTAACAATAATGATGCAGAGAGAAAAAAAAGCCATGTTACCATACGAGATTTTAAGCAACATTCAAAAAATGCATACAAAATTCAAAAGGGGTGTCATTAGCTATAAGGCGGAGCCACAATTTGGGTAACCTTGGTGGAGGCGGACTGTCACTGTGCACTCGATCAATCTGAGATACAAAGCATGTTTTATATTCACATATGAACAGTGGGGGGAGAAGAGTCCTGCATTTCAAATCGTACTTAAGTAGAATTACTAACGTACAGGCATCAAATATACTTATATTCCAAAAGTAAAAGCACTCGTCCCATTTCACAATCTTATATATTAAATGACTGGATTATGATAATTTATGCAATAATATGTCCATCACAGCTGGTAAAAATAGAGCTAATTTGAATCATTTTACATTCTGCTGCTGGATATCTTAACCTGTAATTATATACCATAGTTGATTCATTAATTGATTTATATTTTGTGTTAGCTAATAATCTGAATCTGTAAAGTAAAGCTGTGGTTAAGCCCACTCAGTATAGAGATCAAGGAGATATTTTAATTTAAGCAGACTAAAGAATACATTGCATAGCCAATTTATTGTGGATACAAATATTGCCACCAACCAATAACAGGTGGCACACCACCACATGAAATGAGACAAAATAAACTATGGAATATTAAATATGTGCTGCATCTCATGTGTGTCTTTTTGGTTCTTGGGATGGTAATGGACAGGCAATATAGTTTATATATTGACTTCCAAAAGATGTAGTAAAGTATAAATATTAAGTAATAACATATTTAAATTAAAGTAAACTTCAAAATTGTACTTGAGAACAAAACTTGCCTGCATCCTAACATACCCAATCACCACAACATGTTAACAACCCAACACCATCACACACGTCTCAGTTGCTGTTTGTCATCCGAATGTGAAGGAAAGGAGCTTTTAATGGTATCGCACATCATGGCGCTGAGTGGCAGACACACTCGGTGTCCCGTCCGCCGCCGGAGCAATTAAGGCGCCCTGACAACTGTGGGCGCTCTCTCAGTGTCACAACAAATCACTTGTTTTGAGGAGTCATGCACTCACACCTTTCTGCTGGGAGTTAGTTAGAAGCTTGCGTGTGTGTGTGTGTGTGTGTGTGTGTGTGTGTGTTCTTCAGCGTGGCTCCTCCTCCTCCAGGCACCGTGCATCCACCCCATAATAGATCTCTGCTGACAGTGTCTCTAATGAAATGCTCTCACATGACACATTGAGCCATCCACAGCAGTTTTTGAGGCCATCTTTTCATGTCCTCAGGTATGGCATATTTGCCATGTTGTATACACGCTGGATCTGAGATGCAGATGCGGATCATATTGAGAGATTGTGTGTGCGAGTGTGAGAGGAGAAGGTTGGAGGATGAAGAGGTTGGAGGAAGATGTCTCGTGTCCTTTTAGCTCGCCTCAGTCTGGTGTGGTGTCAGAACAGTTAGAGGGGTGTGTATTTGTTGGAGGGTGTGTGCAGCTTGTAACACATCAAGATGACACTCAAGATGAAGTCTAACAGTCCAGTATTTACCAAGAGGCTTTCTTTATATCATTTCTTTATGTATAATTCAACTTTTTGGACAATAAATTAATCGTTAAAGTAGGTTTCTATGCAGAACATCCTCTAATATGGACATATTCAGATTTGTTTGTTACTTTAAACGAAATATCTCTGGGTCTGACAAGACAAAATATTAACCTTAAACTGGAATGGACATTTTTCTAAAATGTTTCCTGCCACTTATAGACAATACATGTAGCAAAATGAATCGCTTAATCCAAGTACTGCATTAAATCGGTAATGTATTAGTGGATTCTTACATCTATTTGCTTGTTTGTGTGTTGCAGGTTCCAGTTTCAGTGGCTATGATGACACCCCAGGTAATAACTCCTCAGCAGATGCAGCAGATCCTTCAGCAGCAGGTCCTGAGCCCTCAGCAGCTCCAGGTTCTCCTCCAGCAGCAGCAGGCCCTCATGTTACAGCAGGTAATGTGCATCTGACATTACCCTCATTCGTCTGTAAATCTTCTTTATGTAAAGACAGCAAAGATAAATTCACTTTAAGCTGCCTTACTTTTCATTTTTTTTCCCTCGTTCAACATTCCTCAAAGTATTGAAAATTCTCCCAAAACCCACCGCTGAGTTTATACGACTGACAGGCTTTCACTCACGTGTCGCCTTCTGTCTTTTCTTGCAGCAGCAACTCCAAGAGTTCTACAAGAAGCAGCAGGAACAGCTCCACCTCCAGCTCTTACAGCAGCAGCAGCAGCAGCAGCAGCAGCAGCAGCATGCGGGCAGCAAGCAGAATAAAGAGGTAGGCTGACATCACTCCGAGCGCCTGCCATTACCAAACCGTTGGCCAGACAGAGTATGGAAGGCATGTGTGCTCCCTCCCTCAACCCCATCTGCTTCCAGACTGTGGTTAAAGCACCGAGGAGGGGTGGGGGGGGGGATCAAGTGCACTCATGCTTCTGATTAGCATGTCAGACATGCTGCATAAATGGCAACAACTGACTGATACTGTGCTAAGAATACTCTTTTTTTTTTCCACAACCACATTATATGTTTAAAAAATCCCTGTCTGACATGTTTCTGATTAGCATGATTAGCTAATTAGCATGTCAGTAATGCAGGATGATTGGCATTAACTGAATGATAATCTGCTCAGTATAGCCTACGTTATTTTTCTGAAAGCACATAAAATGTATAGTCTTTTTTTTTTCAAACATGTGTGACATGCTTCTGATTAACATGATCGGCTAATTAGCATGTCAGAAATGCTAGACTGATTGCATCAACTGACTGATACTGTGCTAAGAATGCTCTTTTTTTCTGGAACCAGACTATATGCATAGTATCTGACATGCTTCTGATAAGCATCATAAGAATACTCTTTTTTTAAAACCATATAAAATGTAGCTTTTAAGCGTTATGTCTGTCATGCTTGTGATTAGCATGATTAGCAAATTAAGCCGATTAGCATGTCAGGTATGTGGGATAAATGACAACAGCTGATTGATACAGTGCAACAACACTTTATTTTCTCTGCAACCACATTAAATGTGTAGTATTTATTTTTAAATGTAGGGCCTATGTCTAACATACCTCTGATTAGAACGATTAGCTAATTAGCATTTCAGACATGCTACAAAGATGGAAAAACTGACTGATATTTCCCTTAGAATACTCTTTATTTTTTAAATCACATGAACTGTTTAGTGTTTTGCTTCTGATTAGCATGATTAGCATGATTAGCATGCATAGTCCTGAAGTATTGTCAATTGACACCAATACACCAGCACTTACAATGGTATGGCTTTTTGAAGCGTGCCGGTTTGTATCGTTATGGTTATCGTCACTTTGGATAAAAGTGTCATCTCAATGTAATGTAATGTAGAGACTGAGCCTTGTGAATTGTTATATTTAAAGTAAACAAGTGTCCTGTGCAACAAATAGATGACCGCTGCTGCGAGCCTCGTGTAATGAAAGGCAGGAACAGGGAGCATATCAATCTGGGAGGCTTTTCTCGGTAATTAACATGGAAATAGCAGAGGAAGAGAAGGCATGTAATTGTGAGATATCAGTGCGGAGAGCGCTCCCAGCTTTGTTGCCTACATGTGTATTTTTTCTCTCTCCATCTTTCTTGCTCTCTCCTTGGCGCCCTTCAGAACGGGCAGTGCTCGCTTATAGGCAGCGGCTTAATGCGTGTTAATGACCGGAGGACACGAGCATCACTGTGGACAAAGCAAATTATTATTGCGCGGTCAGAAGAAGTTCAAAGACGAATCTGGGAATTTCTGCTCCTGTCCCCGTTGAGCTCCGTGTTCAGAGAGTGGAGGAAGCAGGAGAAAATTAAGCCCGATGTTAGACTCACACACATGCTCACACTTACACACTTACACACACACACGTCCGCGTCCTGTCGAAGCTCCCAACTTCAAAGTCGTAGCTCCCTAATTAATGAACTGCGGGCTTCAGTTTGGACAAGTTGTGGCGTGATGCTCCCATAAATCAACATGACAGCGGAGCTCCTCGGCCTCAGATAGGGCCTGTCACCAAGTCGCATCTGATGTAAACACGAGAGGAGAAAAGGGGGAGAAAAGAGAGGGAGGAGGGGAAGGGGCAAGGAGGTGCAATTGATCAGTTGAATGGAGCATGAGAATAAAAGAAAAAACAACTTTTGAAGCATATTATGTATGATCACAGGAAATGGATGCAGCCTCGAGAGGCTCTCCCCCTCCGCCCGTGTTTTCTTTCTCTCCCCATCACCATCGCTCTCGCCTTTTTCTTTTTTTTCTTCTAGTCGCAGCCATCAAAAGACAGAATAAGAATTATGCAGTGACTCCCCTGTGGCTGCCAGACAATAACCCCCTGTTGTTGCTTTGTGCCTCTTTTATTTTAAAGACATCAAAATTTAGTTTCTCAAAGATCTTTAACTTTATATTTGAAGCTTGACAATAAAGGGCTGCCAGTGTCACTCTTTATCATTTGTCAGGGACTGTATTTTTCTCTCCCTCATGCCACTTCTTGTTAACCTCTTATTTGGTCTATTGGGTCTCTGGCTTTTTTAATGTGTCTGCATGCTGGGAGCGCACAGGAGCTCCTGTCAGCTGATGGGACCAGAAGAGAAAATAAGAAAAAGACATGTGAAGGGGGAGAGAGTTAAATTAATTTGCAATACTCGATTTTTCCTTTCTTCTCTTTTTTTCTCTCCCTCCTCTTCAGAAAAGCCACCCTCTATTTATTTAGCGTTTTGATGAAAGACATTGTTCCTTGTGAACTCCCACCCCCGTAGCACTATTATCTTTCTGTCAGGGTGGAACAGAAAAGCACTGAAGACATGAGAAACTTTCCTCACACTGAAGGAAACGGGGGGGAAAAACACCTTTTCATAAGATCAGAGCAGATCACCTGCATATCAAACTCTTTCCTCTCACGTCCCCCTTCCCTCATTTTGGGTTACATCACACATAATCCTGTGAATGAATGAGGCGACTCCTCAATTATGATTCTCTTCCAACACTGTCAGAGCGTCTTCCCTCCCTGATTGATCCAATGAGACGACCCCACTCGCCGTAATAGACCACTGCTGCCCAGAGCTTTATTTTTAGAGAGTGTGTGTGGGGGGGGGGGGGTGAGGAAGGGAGAGGAAGGCCGATAGACCCTTATGACAAGCCGTTTGTTTTTGATCTGGCTGTTTCAGGGGTTTTCAGAGAGCGGAGAGTGACCTGCCAGCCATGCTGCACCGAGACCTTTTTTGTGTGCACTTGATTGTGAGAAGTAAACAAAGTGGTGTATCCTGTGTTTGGAAACAGGGCGCGGTGCACAGCTTGGCAGACCCTGCAGTGCTTTTAGTGCCCCCCCCCCCCCCCCCCCCCCAGCCACCACCCCGGCCGCTTGACTTATGGCCTTGTGTACTCATAAACAGGCCGGGTATCCTGTTGAGTCTCAATGCGCATTGTATCTGTTGTACAATACAAAAGGTTATCTGACAGAGCTACGGTAATGATTAACAGTTTGTTGGTTGTTTGGGCTTAATCGACTAAGATTATTTCAGTCTGTCATTTTTTTTATATTTGTATATGCCAAAAGACTTAGTTCCAAGAATGTTATGAGCACAAGGAATACAGTTGGAGCTTCTGCGTGATTGTTTTGAGGGAAAGAACATGTTATGACTTTGTCAACTATAGGTACATTTGAGAGAATCTAATTTCACTATATTTTTTACCATTTTGATATTTAGGAATATTGTAGGGCAGATCCTTGGTGCTTTAACCTTATATTTACACAATGAGTATTGGTCAAATAAGCTACAGCAATGTGAAACTAATGACTAAATGGGAAAATAAGAGCTCACACAGACTAGTTAGTTCACTTTGCCTTTTTCAGATATCTGAGATCTAAGACTATATTTAGTCAAGTCATATTTATATACGTGAATATATTGCCCAGCCCAAAATGTGGATTAGTCTAATGTCTATTGTGAAGAACAACCCTATTTTGGGGACATTTTGCTGAGTTGACTGAGGATTTGTTGAGAGCATGGGACTAACAGAAAGGGTTCAAAGTAATCCCCCTCCTCTGTTATCTAAAGAACATCTCTCATTTGTTTTGACTCAAAGGGGATTGGAAATATTTGATAATTTTCTTCTATTTATTATTCTGACTTCTCCGCTCTCACATCACCTCTCAAAGTTCACACATTTCACTAACCAGCGCCAAAAATGTTCTCCTCCTGACCCTAAAGACACACCAGCCTTTAATGGAGAAAAGCTTTGAGGAAACAACACAACAGCTATCTTTTGCTAGTTCACAGTGTAGAGCTTGTTGGGGGAAAGCGTGTCCCTGAACGCAGCACGGTGCCGGGGAGAGTTGCTCCGGTGGTTATTAAGCACTCTGGTTTAGTCACACGTTGTTTGCTGAATTATGAATGGCTGTAATTAAATTCCTGTGGCTCTTATTATGAATGATTAACTATGTTGTTTCATTGTTTGTCATTTGCCTCGCGACTCCTCGTTAATTAAGAGAGACAGAGAGATGTACGCCGCACCTGTCTTCACACACTAAAGGCAGAAAATTATGAAAATCACGCTCGGCTATTGTGCACGAGAATCGATGAATGTGTTTTCTTATGAATGAACGTGTTGTTCTGAAGTGTTTTACTACCTGTGAACTTCCTGGCCCCCGGATCTAAAGATGTTCTTCATGAAGAGCGTACAGGAATGTTTGCACTGGCTTTTATGCTTCTGTATTTCTGTGTGCTGATGGTGTGTGTGTGTGTGTGTGCCCACAGCAGCAGGTGTCCGCCCAGCAGCTGGCCTTCCAGCAGCAGCTCCTGCAGGTCCAGCAGGTCCAGCAGCAGCACCTGCTCAACCTCCAGAGGCAGGGGCTGCTCACCATCCAGCCCGGGCAGACCGGCCTGCCGCTGCACTCCCTCACTCAGGGTCAGTACCTGCTCCCACCACAGCACTGTGTACAACTACAACCCTACTGCACTCTGTCAAATATCAACAATACACCGGGGACAATGAAACACCGCTTTTTAACTCCAACATATTCAAAGAACGTGTTAGAATGTGTCTTCAGATGTCAAATAAGATGTACTCCAAGTATGACAAAAATATATGGTTATCATTTATCTGTTTATTGATACCACAGCATTGCATATAACTACAACCTTACTGCACTCTGTCGAATATCCTGTCAACATAACACTAAAACACAACTATGTCCCGGGATTCAAGGCTTTTATTGTCATGTGTACATAGCAACAGTGTAGATATGTCAATGAAAATCTTAGTCCCAGGCTCCTCCAGCAGTGCAACACAATAACATAGTGCAAGTAAATACAAATGAAATAGAATAGAAATAGTGCCAGGAGAGTCTATATACAAGTAATTGGAATATTAGATAATTAATGTGTAAGTTGCAACCAGATGAATGTTATGGAGGTTTTTCAAAGGTTCAGGTGTTTAACAGTCTTATGGCCTGTGGAATGAACTGGATAATGAAACGCCTCTTTTTAACGCCAACATATTCAAAGAATGTGTTAGAATGAGTCTGCAGATGTACAATTAAGATTGACTCTGACAAAAGTATATTATGGTTATCATGTATCTGTTTATTAATACCACAGCACTGCATATAACTAGAAGCCTCCTGTCAGACATCCTGTACATAATTAGTCAACGGCTCAACGCTGTACAAACAAAACTCTGTCTGGGTAAAATATGACACCGGATTGAACAGTGTCAAAAAGTGCCAACGTGGATGATCCTGGTCTTTAAAATGAAATGCCATTATGTGTCCATTGGAACGTAGTAAATGCTAAACTATAGTGCCAGAGTCTAACAATTAGAGAAAGAATATTAAGTGAGTCATAACCACAAGAAGAAATATCATAAATGTGTCATTTTACAAAACGGTAGTTCAAATTGATATACCTACAAATCTAGTATGATTTAAAGGATTTAGACATAGCTTTGGTTAGTGGAAGAAGAAAAAAAAAGATATATATATATGAATCTAGAGAAAGGTGTTAAATAGAGAGTGCAGACTGGAACAAACTATTAATTATAAGCGTTAAAATACTCAAATTATGGTACAATATGGCAAAATGTCCAAATGATCGTACCAATACGATAAGGATCGTACGTTGTGCGACGCCGCTGAACAAACCTTGTGAAGTTTTTTTTATAATAAGAATAATAATTCTTATTCTTATTATAATAATTTATAACAAAATAATTTAAATGTTTAGTTAGATAAGGTAGAAATTGCAGAAACTGCTAATGTATTTCTTCAAATGTTTTGAGTGTTTTATATGCTACTGTTATTGCTCTGCAGCAAAACCTGTTCATATTTGCTTAGTCAAAGTGAACAACGTACCACTTTAGTCTGAAACCAAATACTGTGTGTGGTTTTACTGGCTCAGGACACACCTACCATAAATCCTAACTAAACACTTACTTATTAAAAAATGTATAATCCCTCCGGGTTCTCTGTTTACCGCAGGTTCATTGTGGTGTGCCACACTTTATCTTAGATCAGTGAATTCAATCAATTTGTTATTGGAAGGAATAAATATTACAAATTATTTTTGATGATTTATTAATTGCTTTAATGCTTAAAAAAAAGCAGTTTTCAGCGACTAATATATGGAGTTCTTCTACCTTTTCTGTTTTATATCATAATTAATTGAAAATCTTTAGGTTTTTGAGCGACAAAACAAGATATTTAAAAACATCACCTCTGAATTTTAGAAACCGAGATGAACATTTAACCTGTTTTATAAAATAATTGTCATTTTAATGGAAAATCTCTTAGTTTTTTCCCTATTTTTTACTGTAATCAGAATCAGAATAACTTTATTTGTCCCACAGAGGGGAATTTTTTGTATCATCCTGGACTATAGAAGTATTAAAACGCCAGTGTTCAGAGTGTCCATGCTCTGCCCTTGAACCCTCTGCCCTGTGAGTGGCATCCTGCTGGCAGTCTCCTTCAGCCTTAGGAAGACTGGATCTATTGTTCCTAAACTGCCCGTGAACTTGTCATTGTGAAAGCGCCTGTTACTCGATAGGGAGTCAATATTTGTTGTTTGGCCAGGAAGTTTATTTCTTTATTCATCCTTTTAATATTTTGTTAAGGAGTGGTCCCCTCGTGACAAAGACGCCGTCATAAAGGTTTCAGAACATGACATTGACTATTCATTCCCAGCTAAGGCAAACAGTTTTGAAATAACAAGATAAGAGCGATAAAAAACGGTGAGGGTTGGGGAGTGGGGGGGTGGTTAGGTAATAGGCAAACACAAACAGGGTTTGTACAGTGGTGTTATTGTTTGGATTGGGTATGGAATCACTCATCCACCCGCAAACGATCGCCATGGGCACAGGCGTGGAGCGCCGCGTTGTGAGTGTGTCAGATGTCTGGCAAACACACAAACACCCCTTGAGTAAAGCATTTTGTGGTGATATTGCTATTGTATAACTGTATTGCTGATGGATTTCACAACAGTCTAAGAACATCCTGTTTACACTGTGTCAACACCAAATACCTGTGACATCTCACTTTATCAAAAGACTTAGTGTCTTTAACTCAAATCTCTTTTCACTTTTTAGTTTTTTTTACAATGTAGACACCCCTAACTGGGATTTTGTTGGTTAACAAGCTGGCCGGCTCTGTTGTGATTGGTCAACCGCTTAGAGATGTCCCGCCCGTTAGTCTATCACGTACAATGTGTTGGAGCGCTAGCCAATAGAAGCACAAGGGTTGCTTAGTGATGTCACTATGTTCTGGAAGTAAACAAAGGAGTCCAATGGAGGCGTTTTAGACAGGGTGTTTTGGGGAGATAAACTTTGGGATTTTAGCCTTCGCAGACCATTTACATGCACACAAATCTATAGAACTCTCTACAGGAAAGGGAAACCCCCAAAAAGCATAATAATGCTTATGCTTAATATTTTAATTTTTGTATTAGCTTATTATCTGAATCTAAAAAGTAACTAGTGATTAAAGTCTCATAAAGATGCAGTAAATGGTATTAAGTAGCATAGACTGAAAAGACTGGTAATAACTGGTTATGAGGAATGTTTCCCCATTCAGCCAACGATTTGAAGTGAGTTGTATGCAAATTTCTCTAAGGTCTGGAATGTACAGTCAGTGTTGCCCTTTTCTCACAACCGGTTGAACCTGGTTAGTTTGCGTATCCGTCGACGGTAAACTCCGTGCCTCCGACAGCTGTTGCAACACTCGGGCTTCTTGTGCTCCAGGCCCCCTCGGTTTGTCTTCCTATCCTACACATTTTCTGCTTGACTGTTTGAAGTTATTGATGACCTTTCTGTTTTCCACATCACTAAACTCTTTCATGCATCAGCTGGCCAGGGCCTGTGGTGCCCAGATCTAATCTGCAATACTCAGCTAGCAGTTAGCACGGCGTCGGAAGTGATGAGTTGATCTGCTCCGTTTGGGTCCCGCTGATTATGGATTCAAACTTGCAGGGGGAGGGGTGGAGGGGGCAGTAAATTGGCATGACTTTTTAACTGATTATTTCCTTCGTTACAAAGTGTAGATATCCATACGATTGATTTAGGAAGCCAGTGTATTATTTTCCAATGTGCAGAGACAAAAAAGGAACAAAGGGTTTTCAGATAACAGGTCACTGTAACAGAGTAATTCAATACATGCAGGTGTGCAATCTGCAGTTGTGTTTCATATGCTACCAAGCTCATTTTTTCATCAGTCTCCTGCTGAGTAGCATCATCGACTGAGACAGATTACTGTAATTTTTTCCCTGCCAAAACGACGGACTGAAGGAATGCATTTGAATCAGCCGTTCAAACATTTGATAGCACTAATTAAGTACAAACCTCGCAGATAGCGGTTTTGAGTGAAAAACAATTGCTCACATTATCTGGAGTGTAATTTGTTTCTGTTGTCGTAAATTCTTCTGACGTTAATGTTCAAAGTGTTGGAAGCGGCCAGACGCTATCTGTTATAAATTACCACGACGTGTTTGGGGAGGATATAACTCTCATAAATATAAAATTTGATCCACCCTACCCTCCCCCATCTCACAAAAAGCCTGTCCTCTTGACCTGATAAGTGAGTCAGTGGCTGCTCATGTTGCTCAGGTGTGTGTGTGTGTGTGTGTTTATGCTCACCCTGCGAGGTCGCTCTGCAAGAGAGTGAGTTCTTGAAGCTGCACAACATCATTTAAGCTGTCTGGGAGAGGCCAGTGGGACAGTGACAAGACAAATTTGTTGGTAATATGAAAGCAAAGAACGTGGCGAGCCATGAAGTGCTCACGGAGCGGCGGCACATCGGGGACAGCGGCGGGTAATGCGGCTGACCTGTCAGTGATTGATACGTCCAGCAGTGGGCTACTGGTAATAGTTCCTGCGGCATTAGGACAGGACATATTTCAGGCCTAAGGGGTGCATATCAGCAGGCCGGTGATTACGGAAACATAAACAGGGGTGCAGTAAAGGTCCCAGCCCGGCGGAACAATAAACTAATAGCGATGTCACTGTCCCCCCACGGCACCACGAGGAGTAACAGCTCGGTTTAAAGAGCCCGGAGCACTAGGGGCCATTTTTTATTTGGGGGGGATGATGGCCTGCAACTGATGTCATTATGAACCTTAAATCAACTTTCTGCTTGCTTGAACATGGTCACCTGGGTGCAGGGGGACAAGGACGGGAAAAGGTTGAAGAGCTCGGCCTGTCGGTGTGCCAGAGCTACCTGCCGAGGTGAAATTGAGTTGGGAGACCGGTGATCAATCAAGTGTCCCAACAACATACATTTTTTAAAGTGCCTGTCCGTGTTTCCCGGCCGTAATGAGCGGAACAGTTGTGTTGAAAAATGGAAAGGGGAAAGATAAACCAATCCGGCATTTAAAGGACGGACAAACCGGGGGACCCGAGGAAGAGGATTTCCAGATCAATGTCATTATGTGTCCCACAGTAATCAGATGGAGAGCATTTTGCCCCAAACACAAAATATAATACCCTCCGAGACGTTTCTGTAATGACATTTTATTGTCATTTATGTGAAATCATGAGCCATAGCTGTTGTTGGGTTTGAAGAGGTTAGGGTTAGGTAGGAGTAGGGAGAGGGACGAGCAATAAAACTGAGGACTAGATCCAGGAGGAGACAGCCTGGTCCCACTCCGTTACCTCTCTCATCAGACCGCTCTATCCGCTGCGGTTTCATCTGAGTAAACAGTGGCGTCGGGGTCACCGGGACTGCTGGGTAATTGAGCCAGTGTGGGCCGCCCTGTCAAGCACATCGGCTAAAAATACATCGCCCACTGTCACCGGGCACCAAGTGGGGGGAAAATGATTGTTCCCACTGTCGGAGCACAGGACACTCGCATCAACGGTGACCTTCCACTTCAAGACCAGCCTTCATAGACACAGAAAAAAAACTTTTACTCCAAAGTTAAAGCGTCAAAACAACAATGGATCCTTTGAAAAATGCAATGGCAAATGAGCACTCGGTGGATTAGCATGCTGTAACACAGAGCGCAATATTAAGCATGTTTAGCCTGTCATGGACGTGCGCTTCGATTAGAGCACATCAAGGCGTTGAAGAGAATACGGGAGAATACAGGCAGGCAGAATGGAGCGGGCGTGTTGAGATATTCCAATGAGGAAAGACGCTCCTTGGAACGTGGAAAGGTTATTGATTTGTCCTGTAATCATTTCCTGCTCTTTGATATGCAAACGATCTAGTGTGAATTTACAGCAATCCTATCAGACTCATTTCACAGTTCTTAGCCCCTGCGTCTCTCCGGAGTCCTCCGCCTCATTAGGCCAATGTTCTCCATTACCAGCATAATTAAAATCTTTAGTAGCTTATCAAATTAAAAATATTTTTTCGCTGATCGTATTGAGATCTTCACCTCACAGTTATTTTCCACAACAGGAATAAATTAAGACTAAGCATTTCGCACACAATGTATGACAATCTGGTGCTTGAAAGGAGCACTTCTGGTATCTATAGAGCTGGTGATGAGAAACGGGGCAGAATGAAGGGAGGGGGGGGGCGGGGGGGGGGGGGGTATATAAACCCGAGAAGATAAGCATGTGCAAATCATCTTTCATTTGCCACTGCTCATTTTGAGAATGGATTTAATTAATTGTAATGTTAAACGAGCGGTCTTGCCCATTTGCTCTGTGGTTAAATTCACCGCATATCCGAGGGCTTCTTTCAGCATGCTTGAAACATGTGGTTTATTTAAACACAGATTCGAATACCCCAATACAAATCCACACACATTTACCCTCTTAGATCTTTTAGTGGGCTATTAAAATGTACCCAGATGTTTTGACTGAAAATACAAATAGCTACATAACCGCACCCATGAGGGTTAATCTTATTTTACATATCTCCTCCTTTATGTGGAATGAAAGCAGACTTGTGTAACAGACAGTAAAGATGGACACATATATAATATAACAAAGGCTCTCACAGAAATGAGGTTCACAAACAACAAGCATTATCCTTTATTTATCCCCATGGTGTCGGAGATTGCTGTCACTCACACGCAGAAAAAAAAAAAACACGCGCTCTGTAAATATTTTCAAGCCGACAGAAAGATGTCTTCCGTCTTCAAGGGATTTTTTTTTTTTCAAAGGGCTGTGTGAGCTGCAGTGTGCTTGACTTGTTAAATGAGGTTTAAGTCTTCTGTGTCAATTGGAGGCGGTGCAGAGCTTTAAGTATTTTGCACATTAATGCGCTTTTGAGAATATTACCCCAGGGTCCTGTTTCTCAAGCAGGCAGGGGTGGGATGTTTTCCGAGCGTTGCTATTGTAAACTTTTCTGTTGTGTATGTTCTGCGTATCTCTTGTTGTCGAGAGAAAATGACGGTGATTATTCAGATTTCATGCCTTGTCTGGGTGTTAATTATTTACTCTGAGCATGAAATCTGCGTGAATGCCAGGGATTTGTGTATACAAACACGCTCCAGATCACAGGGAGAAATGGGAGGGAGAGAAGGAGGTGGCGGAGAGAAAGAGAGAGGGGTGGTGGTGGTGGGGGGGGGAGGAGAGCTCTCAGTGCATTACCCTGTAGTGGAATATTTTCTAATTAATACTCGGCTTTGTTTACAGACGCTTTGATTTAATTAAGTGATGAAGAGGCGAGTTGGATTAGCTGTTAATTGATTTAATTATCCAATTTGTTTGTCTCAGGCATGATTCCAGCAGAGCTCCAGCAGCTGTGGAAGGAGGTTACAAACGCTCACGTGAAGGAGGAGCACAACAACAGCCACAACAACAACAACGGCCACCGGGGTCTCGACCTGTCCTCCCCGGCGCCGCCAAAGAACACCCACCTCAACCATCACGCCTCCTCCAACGGGCAGTACATGAGTCACAAGAGAGAAGCGTGAGTCTCAAAGTATTTGATATGTTTCTTGTTTTCTGTCTCATCTGTGGTTTTACAATGGGCTTTTGGTTAGAAGCCTGAAACTATGTTCATGTTTTGTTCCATGACAGAAACACGGTTAGGGTTAGGGTTAGGGTTAGGCAAACACCCCAATACTGAATATCAAAACAAAAAAAAAGTCATTAAAATGTTGTTATTTTGTCAAAATTGGCTTTGCTCCACAAATCTTAAACATGTGTTTGCACCAAAGCTTAATTCCTGCAGAATCCCTTGGAAAAATCCCAATGGCTTTTTCTCGAGGGAACCTGTTCAACACTAACTAACGGGTTGGCCTACAAGACTGTGACATTAACAATGAAGCTTGTGAAACAGTCCTTGATGTGCAATATATTCCCATTTAAAAATAGCTATATTTCTCTAGGCCTTGGCCAATGAACCCTGTTGGGTTTTCTCTTAATTCATGGTGTGTAAGTATCTTTTTCATTATGGCAAACACAGTCACTTTTCTATCAGCCTGGATACAGCAGGGGATATCTCCTACACTACACAGCTTTCATTGCCACCAACTGCACTGTAGCCATTTTGCATATGACACTCAAATCTTTGAATCCTTTGAATTATTTTTTGGATGCAAATGCAGCCGTACATTTTTACTTGTAAAGCATTAATATCACAAGTCTCTTCTCAGACAGGAAAACCTGTTCCTTGTGAACTTGTTGACATGCAGTATCAACACGATCGTCACCTGTCACACCAGGAACAACAAAGAATGCTAGAAAAACAAACACTGGGTGTATCATATCTTTTCAAAACCAGGATGAATCATGAGCAAAAATGTTTGCGCTCTGGGCTGTGTGTCGGCGTCTTTAAGGAAGGAATTAATTTTGCATTTTACACATTTGCTTGTTTTCTTGCACCAACGCCTGATCTTTGAACTGCTAGTGAGGAGCCTCCAGGCGCCGTGAGCTCACTGCATAACATCTGACTTGTGTTTCAGTGATCAAAAAAAACCTACGCGTCATTATGAAAGCAATGCCGATGAAAACATGTTTAGTGCAGTAAAGCGGCATGCCTTTGGAGGTGAAGAGGGGCTGTTGGTGAAGGGGGGGGGGGGGGGGGGGCGGGGGTTGTAGAGAGGATCTGAGTGACTTGGAGAGGAAATGCTATGATTCACTGATGGAGAGATACAAAGCGGAAAGCAGCTATTTCATTTCAAGCGGTGATATCAGTTTAACACCAATTCATAATACCTGTAATGACTTATCCTCTTTAATATTTCAAAGTTATCTTCAAGCACAGACACTGGAGAAAAATAAAATATAAAATGGGCTCCCACAGTTTGACAGTATCCACAGGCTTCCAGCTCTTCATCCACACGGTGGCTGAATGTCTGGGTTTTTTTGGTGTAGTTGAAGACAAATCGCAGGGGAGGATATTGATTCGCTCACTCCATCACACATTGTTGCAAACAAGGTGAGCATCGATGGCAGGGGAAAGTCGAGAGGCTGAGGGCTCCATGAAACATCGGAGAAGACATAACGCAAGAGCCGGCAGCCCCCCTCTGCCTGGCGCTGACTGTCAGAGATTAAAGAAGATGTCAACAGCAGTTTAACACGAGCTTAAGAGAAGAAAGTACTCTGAATATTCTCGCAGTATCTTAGATCTGTTAGAAAACCAAGCAGGTGACTCTCATCCAGCGCATCTGCTCGAGGAATTTACGGATTACCTACCCAGCCTCCCAATGTGCAATTTTCTAAAGGAAAGAAGACGAAGTGAACACAAAACATTGCTTATTAAATAAATGCTAATTTAGATCCACACACGACCAATAATCCTCTCTCTCACAACTATGAGGAGCATTGTTCCCCCTGCCCGCCTTTTGATGATGCAAACTCAATTCTAATCAGACTCCATGAGAAAAAAAAAAAAAAATTAAATATTATTAAGTGTGGTTATTCTAAGCAAGGCTCTGAGAAAACGTCTGTGTTATAATCCAGGGATTTGAATAATCAGGTTGAAGATAATGGGCTGGGCCGGCCCGGGCGTAAATAGAGAGCATCCACTCATCCTCCCAGCGCTGAACTTAATGAACTTTTAATTGATGTGGTTTTGCAAGTCCTTTTGTCATGCAACAGAAACAAGCCTCTCTGCTGATGGGCCTGTTTTCCCGACTGGCTTCAGATTGGTTTACAGCAGGCCCTAAGTACCATGTAGTTAGTTTCATGTGTCATATAAAATCTGCCCAGGCACAACGACGCCTGCAACTAAAACCTTAAGTGCATCCACAGGAATCACTCACCGGCTTTGCACTTCCGTCTTAAGGAAGGAGGAGAAATTCAATCACTGCCGGGCTTGACACACCGAAGACGAGGCGAGCGTTCCTGCTGTTACTTGTCTCAAAAAAACACTCTGGCAAAGGCAGGCTGGGATTTCTTTCTGTTTGTCTGAACAACAACCATGATATGACCAGTGTCTGAGTCACTCAATCTGTCGGCCCGCGTCGCTTCTGCGATGCACAGAACAAGATATACCCCTGTGAGCCAGGTCATCTTTATTCAATGATTTGCTTATTTAAATGAAAATGTGGCTGATCTGTATCTGACACAAATTCCCAATACAGTGCCGCTTCAGCTTTGTGAAGGTGGCGGGTGGGGGTGCGTCGCCACAAAGCGCTTGGCCCACTTTGCTTCCCAACAACCATCAGTAACCACAGCTCGGGGACTGTAACACAGCAATCTGTTAAGGAGATAAATAATCAGATTTGGCACAGCACTCCCATCTCTCTTGCCTTTCATTTGTCTTACACCAGAAACACTGATAATTAAATCATTTAGGGTGAACCATGCCGTGTTACAGAGAAGACAGGAAGGGAAGGATCGGGCCTAGAGAGTTACAAAAGGAGGATTGAGGGGAAGGAAACAAGGGGCTCGAGACATTTTCTAATATGAACTCCTGACAATATTTGGAGAATCAGGTCCGCGCATTGTCTGGAGTTTCCCTCTTTGACAAGTGACCCAAAACAAGAGATTTTCTGTTTCAGAAGAGTTCTCACTTACCAGAAATACTCTGTTTTCGACAGTCTGTAGTTGGGTCATTAACAACAGAAGGTCCATACTTTTATTTAAAGTGGACCTATCATGCTATATTTGAATAATATAGTATAGGACCATACCTATATAAGGCATATTTATACTTTTTTTTTTTTCAAAATACCAAACAGATCATGCATTTTAGCCATGCCTCATTTCGCTCAATTTGAAAAATGTTAGCTCTGTTTTAGCAAGGGCTGATTCAGTGAGAACAGCACCACTTACAGGCCTGGCATATGTACTACAGCGTCTCCAGCGTTTTCGAACGGCAATGGCCGTGGCTGTCTCCTCCTCATTGGTGGAGTTGGCCCAATAGCCGTAGCGCCACTGTCCTGACGTCAGGACAGTGTTCAAATCTGGATCAGTTTTTATCAGATCCGTTGCAGCCCCTTTTTTAGAGATTTGGGTATGGAGGAAAATAGAGAGGGTTGTGTTTTCTGACACTTGGTGAGTTCCCTGGAACACCGGGGACACATATTCATGTATAAACGACGTACAAAAGTGCATTTTGCATGATAGGTCCCCTTTAATTAATTAATAATGATTTTGGCGTTAGCTCTTTTCCGACAGACATTCCAGAGACTCGTTCTCTTTCAAGCTAGACATCTTCGTTGGCGTCTTGGTGAAAAACACCCATCTTTTTTCCGCCTTCGATGCTTGTTTTTTTCCGGTTTCAATCCAGCTAATTGATCATGATTGGATCTAGTCATACATGCGCTAAAACGGTCATCAAACCACCTTTGTATGGGACCTGATGGTAAAATCTATTGTCTGATCCTAATGAATAGGACATTTGACCTCTCGAATGTATCTCCTCCTAATGTGTAGATAATTTAAGGGTTGTGTAAAAGGGGCTAAGTAGCAGAGTGAGAGTGTTGTGACTGGCTTCACATGGCCAGACTCTGACCTAGCATGGTGGACATCAATCTTCCTTTTCCTTGCTGATAGATTGAGTCCATCAGCACAGGACGATGCCATAGATCACGACTTGTTTATGGCCCAAAGCATCTCATCATCAGAAGAGGTGAACTAGAAATCCAGCTGTCGGAGTCGTTGGTGTCGACACATAAACACAGAGCATCACCTTTCTGTCCGGGTCTATGGGCACTTTAATGTTCCCTTTCCTCTAAAGGAAGCTGATGACACGGTTTTCACTCGTCGCTGTTACAAGATCATTAGGGTGTTCTACCCCCCTGGGCTGCCTGACAAAAATAACATCCTGACCGACCTGTCGTGGCATTCAAATGTAACGCAACGCAGGGAACTGCAGAGCGGTTTTTGTGGGGTTCTTTTCTCCCTTACATGTTCTCAAATGGGAGAAAACCCCATGAATCCTACACTCTTCTCCTATTACACTAATGTAGCTCATTTGGTGTAAATTCTGTAATTTACTACTGTTTAGCCATCCACCATTTAAAAGGGCTCTTCTGCCGCCAGCCCCTCGCAGCGCTTTGTGCTCACTGATTCCCAGCGCACTCCACATTTCAATTTCTTATTAATACAGAATTAACCAACAAGCCTGCTCACAAAGAATTTAGAAAAAAGATCCCTTTAAATTAAAAATCAGCGTTACCTTCAGCAGTCCACAAATGTCCTTGTTAAAAACTCATTATAATAGGCCGGCCCGCCATCTATTTATTAGCTGTATCAAAACAGAGGTCTTAATGTGAATGCATAATTCATAATTGAATTTAAAAAAAAATCAGACTTTTGAAAGAGGCACAGAAAAAACTGCTAACCACATTCATGAATGCTTGACTGCTTCCTAATTGCAATGCAATTATCACATGTTATGAACAATGCCAACTCCTAAGCAAGTAATTATAACACAAGGAAACTAGTGACGACCTTTAAGATTTCCTACTTGAAGTACATCTCTGCTAACATTGATACAAATGAGATTTTAATCTGAACATCAGCGTGTTGAATCCTGCACGCCACGGTTAGATTACTTTCTGTTCACTTTCAAATCAACTGCTAAAATCATAGCAGATGTGTGATTGGCTGAGCAATGCAAGAAGTATTTCTTTTCCCCTCTCTGTCCCTTAATACATCCCCGGAATTAGTAGGAATGTTCTCTTATTGAATATATGTATATGAATGAGATTTTTAGCATTATTCCCACATGACTAAACAATAATGAATCTCCCGATCTGGCCGTTGTACAGAGCAGTGCTCAGACTGGCGAACATACAGCGGTGTTGTCGCACCAGAAGCACAGGTGGCAGCGATATAGGCCAGTCCCCCAGGCTCTTGTACTCGAAAGTTGTGTGTCTTGTACGATACTGTGTCCATATGGCTGCCTGTCTCGCTCTATCAGCAGACACAGGTCGGTTCTCATCGTGGCTATCCACGGTTCCCAGCCTCTCGCCATATGGAAGATGTTGTAAAGTTTGTTTTTCAGGGAACGTTCCCCTCGCTATTTAGACTGATTGCACCAAGCCATAAGCTCCCTGTAGATGCGCTGCTTGTCAGCCCCTGGTGACATGGATTGGTCAGTAGATAAATTGATACCAGGCGGGGATGTTTACACTCATGTGAAAAAAAACGCCTGATGCTTTTTTCTCTAGTGGGGGTTTCATGTTGTGGTACACACACTCCTCCAGGTGGGCTTCGGGACATGATGCAGCAGGAAAAGCAGCGGCTGAGGAAGCCCCCTAGCAGCCTTGATCAAAGTGAATTGAAACATGGCTCAGTGATACTAAATAATTACATATTGATTTGGTTGCTTTTTCGCAACGTGAGTCCCCTCTTTTAAGAGAAGAGCAAGCAGAGATCACACAGGTACTCTGATCCGACACAAGCCAGGTTCACAGATCAAGTCGAAGCCAAAGGTTTTCATGTGGAAACTACATCAGCGCTCACAGGGAGGTGCTAACCAGGCAGCAGCTTAACAGCAGAAACCTGAGTCTGTGACCCGTTGTGTAACTGTTGTTGTCAGAGGTGGAGAGACCTCTTTCTTATAATAAAAAAATCACATTTTCTATATATCAAGAGGTTAAGTTTGTCACAGTAGAGGCACAAAATACTAATATGAACCTGAAAATGTGCAGAAGATTGTGACTGATCTGTTAAACTTTACAAACTCTTTTAGAATCTAAATCTGTCTCTTTCTGTGATTTGCAGATCCACGCATGAAGACCATTCCCACCACAGCCACCCTCTCTACGGTCATGGAGTCTGCAAATGGCCTGGATGTGAGGCGGTGTTCGACGATTTCTATTCATTCCTAAAGTAAGTAAAAGTCTCCGTCAGATGTCTCTACCGCAGTTTGTTTGTCCACGATTGCATGTTTAGTGACCCCCGGGGACTCCAGGCACTACAGGTGCAGCCGGTTGTTTTTCCTCAGTGCGGTGCCTGTGTTTGGCCCTCTCTCTCTGCACTGTGCCGGGGTCTCCTTCTGAGAACCGCATGGGCCTCTAATTCCTGTGATAAGTGCAGTTCCCATGGTGACAGGGGCCGTTTTTCCCAAACAAACAACGGTAGGATGTTTATCTGCAGCAGCCCACACTTAGGGCGCTCTGCATGTTTGCCCTTGTCACTGGACGGACAGGGGATTTGTGTGTGTGTGTGTGTGTGTGTGTGTGTGTGTGTGTGTGTGTGTGTGTGTGTGTGTGTGTGTGTGTGTGTGTGTGTGTGTGTGTGTGTGTGTGTGTGTGTGTGTGTGTGTGTGTGTGTGTGTGTGTGTGTGTGTGTGTGTGTGTGTGTGTGTGTGTGTGTGTGTGTGTGTGTGTGTGTGTGTGTGTGTGTGTGTGTGTGTGTGTGTGTGTGTGTGTGTGTGTGTGAGCTCTTTATGTCTTTCTCTCAGTGCTTTGTTTGTCTTACACAAGGCAGTGTGGGAAACTATGGCAGTAAAGCAGAGTAAAGTGTTGAAAAGATTAGGAAGTGTTCATATTTGAAAAAACTATAAAAACTGAGACTAATACTACATTTATTTTAATATATAAAGGCAAACCAGATACAAAAGGTAACATGTATTTATACATAGAAGTTGGCTAAACAGATATTAGTACTTCTAAGTCACTCACATACTAACATGTTCAATTAATTAAATAAAATGGTAAACAAATACAAATGGTGCTCGTTACAAAAATGCAGTTCTTATGTCAAAGCTGTCTTTTTATTTTTTCAAAAACCTACCCATTTCAAAAGTAAATTAAAATCACTATTTTGTGTGTCTTTTCCAACAAAACACACAATAATGCAACTTTGACAATGTTCTTTAAGATTACCCTCTATGAGAAGCACTATCAAGGTTATTTTGTATTTAAATCACTTTTAGGAAAATGGGTTCAGAGTCTTAGTAGATATGATTCTCCATTTCCCCCCACCCTCATAATGTACCTCAGAAGCCCCCCCCCCCCCCCTCCCCATCTCCTCAGAGTGAGCAGGGTAACAGGTTGAACCCTGACACCGGCCCTTTGTTGTCGCCATGTTTCTCCGACTGAGTCACACCGACGCTCCACTGATCATCCTGTGTGCAGGAGGTAATCCAACACATAACAGCGCCATGGTTACGGAGAGGATGAAAACCTCTACATTGTGGCAGCAGATCAATGGCTCACTGTCACCCCGGATTAGTCGCACTTTAAACAAGATATGACACAATTCCATTATCCTAAAACAAGCACTCGCAGACAGAGAAAGGTGCAGCGCTCACAGGAAGCACAACGTTCTCATTCTTTGTCAACATCTGAATCTTCTTTTTCGACGTGAGCGGTGGAAAGTAACAAATTACTACAGTATTTACTACAGTACTTTTACTTTGCTTGAGTATTTCCTGCTTCAATTTATAAGAGAATATTGTAATTTTTACTCATTTATTTGAGTTGATTTCAGGTTCATAATATTAACGCAAAAATGAAATCAACATGTGAATTATGAAGTACTATTATAGATGACCTGTCAGGTAAATTAAAATATGTGATTTTAAAATGGGGCATTACGCACAATGAGTCATTTTGGTACTTTAAGAATATTTTGATGCCTATACTTTTGTACTTTTACTTAAGTATGCTTTTGTATGCTGGGCCTTTACTTGAAACAGAGTATTTAACACTGTAGTATTTCTACTTTTACTTAACCTGTTAAGCCCTGAGCCTGTTTTTCAGGTTTCAGGCTAAAAAATGCCACTAACACAACAAAGACTATATCTTCACTTCTAAAAGGGGTAAATTAATAATATTTTTTCTCAAAGCAAGGTTACATCTGTGAGTTGGATGTAGAAGTGTCAGAATCAATATAGATGTTTTTATTTTAAAGTAAATTAATATGGAACATAGTAAAAACATGTAAATTCTATCTCCGCCTAAAAATAAACCATTACTTATAGTGAAAACCACCCTTGAATGATGGGTTAGTAGACTAAAAGCTTTAGGAATCCAAACTATAACATATAATAAGTACCCTGTATCAAAATTGATTAAAAAATTGACTACTTCTTCCACCTCTACATAAAATACATTAATCTCAAAGAGAGAAGAGATACCAGATATTAGCTAGTAGCATATTTCCATCTGCAGTCTTTGGGCAGGTATACTTTTTATAATAATGCTTATACTTTTTCTTTACCTATGTAACATTTTGCATGCTAGACTTTTACTTGTCACAGAGTATTTTAACAATTTAGTGTTGCTATTTTGACTTGTAATCCGAGTACTTCTTCCACCTCTGATTGACGTAAATCCACTTTGAGCGCGGTTTTCTTTAGAAAAGAAAGGTTATTCAATACAGAGCCGTTTCTGTGCAAGAGGAGAAAAGAGTCCGTTTTATTTCATAAACATCCTGTGACACGTAGTTATTAAACCACGTATCACACACATATTTCAGCTTAGGGAGTGCCCTCCTAAATCCATCACTATTTATTGTATTCTGACATCGCCTCACCCTTTGTTTATAGAAGAGAGGGGAATTAAATTCAGCTCTGCCTTCACAAAAAAGTCTCTAAGTGCACTCTGCCATGTTTTTACAAGTGTTTTTATCATGGCAACATCTTGTTTACTTTAGTTGCCTGCTCAAACTGCTTGGAACATGTTAAGAAAACATTTGGGGAGAGTCTCCACAAAGCTGCCTTTGTTTAACAGCAGGCGAGAGTGCGAGCGGCTCACCAAGGTGTTAACTCTCAAACCCTTAAGCACTTCCACATGAAAAACCAGCAACTGATACCTCCAAAAAACACTGAGAAAATAAAAACAAGAAATACATCAGGCATTAAAATGCTCTTAGAGAAGTCCCTCGGAGAAATGGTGGAAATGTGTGTGTGTGTGTGTGTGTGTGTGTGTGTGTGTGTGTGTGTGTGTGTGTGTGTGTGTGTGTGTGTGTGTGTGTGTGTGTGTGTGTGTGTGTGTGTGTGTGTGTGTGTGTGTGTGTGTGTGTGTGTGTGTGTGTGTGTGTGTGTGTGTGTGTGTGTGTGTGTGTGTGTGTGTGTGTGTGTGTGTGTGTGGTCAGCAGAACACTGTGTACCAGAGAAAGGTAAGGACTCTAACGTCAACCAGATTTCAGCTCCGCATGCCAACAGCAACAAATAACACGGGACTGAAATGTTGTTTTAAACTGAGTGTGTGTATTTGTTCTATCTTTTAAAGAAAACATTACATACCTACGTGCAATATCTTGATAAATACAAAAAGCACTGAATCCCTGTTCCTGTTTTTCGTGGAGGGGGGGGGGGGGGGGGGGGGGGGGGGGGTTCGGTGCACAGAAGGGCGGGGTGCAGTTCATAGCAGAGGCTCGGGTGTGTTTTTACGCGGGTCAGGACCCCTTCTCTCCAGCGTCCAGTCAGAGGTCAGAGCCAGGGAAACACTGCAGTGCCCTCTAGTGCTAAACACTCTGCTGAAAGCACAGAAACTCATCTAACACCTCGACACAGACGACTACATGAGAAGTGACTCGTGCAGAATTTAAAATCTGATTCAGAAATACTTTATTTGTCCCACAGCAGGGACATTTGCATTGTTATACAGCAGAGGGACAGTGCAGGTAAAAAGGTGAAACTAACTTAAGAAAACATATTGGATAAAGACGTGTGTACATTCATGGTAAAATGAAGTTAATATGTACAAATAATGAGGTAGCAGCCAGTAACATTAATACATTGTAAAATATAAAGGAATGGGAAAAGAGAAAGTCTGATACTTGTGTACATGTGTATATTGTCTATTGCTTGAAAATGGAAATGCGAATACAAAAATGGTCAACATTATTTATTAGAAGACATAATGTAAAAAGCAGAAAACCTGTAAGAAAATGATACACTTTACATTTTTGATAATCATTTTTGAAATAATAAGAAACATGTTTCAATGCTTCTTAAATGTCAATACTACTGTAAAGATGGATGCATTTAATTCCCTTAAACAGTGAGGAAGACAAACCGTCCTCAGAGACAGCTCGAAGCTCTGGGCCCATAATAAATCATTAGAAACTGTAAAAGCAAAAAAAAAGAATTGATAAGCAAACTAACTGATATGTAAAAAGCCCTCTGTTACATGAGTGTCTATTTAGCCTGTTTTATTGTGGCCATTTCCATCAGGGACTGTCATCCTGCCAGAGAGCTTTTAAAAAGGGGGCTTCATTTGAAGTCCAGAAAGTGACACATGCCAACGTTCATAGCCTCTCTCCGCGTCAATTCCCCCCCCGAATCCCCTGCTCCCGTGTCCAGACACTCCTCTCAGGGCTGCATTAGGGCCATTTGAATATTTCATTTCCTATTAATTATGCACTGTGACTCTCCATGTCATTAGAAGAAATAAAGTGGAATGTAACAAAGGATGAAAAGGAGCGGGGGAAACGTCTCCTCTGAACGAGAAATTCCAAAGCTGCTCACGTAGGCCCTGCCTTCATTGAAAATTCACTCGGTGCCAGTTAAATTGAAACCGAAAACGTCTTTACCTATTATTTTCTTCTTTGAAATGTAGTAAGATGTCCTGAGATGTTTACCGGTTTCATTTTCCCCCGACCTACTTAATTAAATGGGCTTTATTTGACTCAAACAAATGGAAAAGCCCCGCCTGAATTGATTTAAGCGAAAAAGGAGGGGGTTATTACTCGTGCTTTTATTTTAAAATGCCTTCTTTTTTTAATTTTGCCACAATAATTAACTTTTAAAGTGCTGAATGTATATCGCAGCACAATAGGAGAACCTTAAAAAGAGGGGGGGGGACGGGGGGGTGAGCACATTTCCCATAAAGATTTAAATCATTCCCTTCAAGGTTGGAAATACGACAAACCTTCACATTTCAAGCGCAGCGCTATCAATTCTCCCTTCACGTGTGTCTGTTTTCTGATGCACAAATGTGTTGTCTGTACATAAAGCAAACGGCGTCGAATTTATAGGTCCATCATCGCGCTGCCTTCACAGGTTGACTCTGGCCATCTTTTGATTTGCAGTAAATGACGAGAAAAAGTGCATTTGGAGAAGACGAGCGCACCTCTCCCCCTCCGTCGGCGCCACGCCTGGTGACAGTGACCTACATGGTCACCGAAGATGTGATATAATTTATGATATATATAATATATTGGATCCATTAGCGAGCATAATGAAGTAGTGAAATGAAAGGGTATTTGTGAAATCAGTTCAAACATCCTGCTCGGATTATGATTAAATGATTAATGAAATGCCCCTGCATAAGCATTTTCAAACAGTAATTCATGCGGCGGCTGATAAAATTCCTCCAATCATATTTCCTTCACTCGTGAACCTTATCTCCACCATTTTATATAAATCACAGAAAAAAAAACCCTGTCTGCTACCCCAGCAAGCTACTTATTTAGATTAGTTATAGGAAAAGAGAACATCTCTCCCTGTATGAAATAATCACACATAATTATATCCATAATTCAAGTTGGTGACAGATCCCATCTCCTCGTCCTGTTGTCCTCTGCGTCTCGGCTACTGGAATTCTCTTAATTACACAATTAGCACAAAAATAGGTAAAAATCCAACAAGGCAAAAGAAAGGGGGGAATAAAAAAGATATAGCATTAAAAAGCATTATAACTCTTCAATCACTCCTCTTATCTGTGAGCTGTAGTTGAAGCATGACATATTAAGTGTTATTCCTGTGTGTTAGGAAGTATTCTATGCTGATGTTATACTGTATGTGAAGTATCATGTCGGTAATAACCCTTAGATGGGCATTCACATATAAATATTTGGGACAATTAATTGATTACTATTTGTTTCATTACACACACTGTTATACAACCCATATTACACTGTTATTACACGTATATGACACAATAATACACCCCTGTTACACTGTTTTTACACCCATATTACTGCATTATCACACCAATATTACACCCAAGTAACTGCAATATTACACCCCTATTACATCCATGTTACACTGTTATTACACCGTAATTACACTGTTATTCGACCTATATTACATGCATGTTACACTGTTATTACATTGTTATTACACCGTAATTACACTGTTATTCGACCTATATTACATGCATGTTACACTGTTATTACATTGTTATTACACCGTAATTACACTGTTATTCGACCTATATTACACCCATGTAACACCGATAATACACTCCTATTTCTTAGTAATTACACTGTTTTTACACCCATTGTACACATGGATACAGCCTGTCAAATGACTATCTCCCAGGGTACAGATACCTTTTAATGGTTAAACCAGCCTTTTTCTACCAGTTTCCCACGTGTGAAAAATGGCAGAAGTCAAACTGACTTTTTCGCCCTGTTTTTTGTTTTCCAGGCATCTTAACAATGAGCACGCCCTGGACGACAGGAGCACGGCCCAGTGCCGGGTGCAGATGCAGGTCGTACAACAGCTGGAGCTGCAGGTATTGTCTCTCCGTTTGTTTTGGCCCAAAATATTTATGTGTCTTCTTTCTCCTGACTCTTCCTCAGTGTCTGGCAAACTCCCCTCGGCGTCCGCATAGATATCGGTCACGGAGGGTCAGTGGTGTAAAAAAAAACAAAAAAAAGGCGAGGCAGCAACAGAGAGAGAAAATAATTTTGTACATTTGCAAGTAACCAGTCATTAAAAATGTGTTATGTATGCATGACAGCCAGGGAAAAAGATATATGAAGGAGCCCGGGGCTAAGTAGAGAAGATAATTACATTTTGAATTTCACTGGGTTATAAAGTTATTTATGACTTCTAACTGTTTGGCACCAACAATAAAACACCACTGGGCAGCTGAGTGTGTGTTCGGAGCAGGGAGGTTCTTTTATTTCAGAAAGCGCTTCATAATCAATGCTTTTAATACCGTTATTTTTGATGTCTTTTCCTGCAAGAAAGATGAATCTGCATGTGTTAGGAATGCACTTATGGAAAGAGTCATTCCATTAGAGTAGGGGGCATAATGACCAGTGCACTTATTTAGTAGATTTACAAGGGGAAAAGACAACCAAAGATCCCATTAAAGTGTATTTTTATTAATTATCTTTTGTCGAGCAAATACAGCTAGAATCACGTTTAATGTATTCCACATTTTAGCAGCCATGTTCACATTCAAACCACATCATGAAATAAAAATGGACTGTTAATGAGTGTTAAAGAGTTCTGCATGTTAACAGTGAGAGTCTCTCTGACGTTACTCCGCACCACCGTGCTGTTTTTCCGCCCCGGTGGTGTTTCATCCAGAGGGATGGAGATGGAGCTTTATCAGACACACACTTCCTCTGCATGCAGCCCCTCACCATAATGTAAGCTGGCAGCTAAGACAGTTTCAGACAGGTAGATAGGGCATGGCAGTGAGACCTCGGATGCTTTTTAACCTTGAATTGTGGCTTCCAAAAGTACTTTAAATACAACTGGACCATGTTGCTCACTGTAAAGGACGGTGTGTTTGTAGCTTCCAGTCTTTTTAAAGTGGATTTATATTTGTAATTAATATAGATTTGTGTATCTTATTTTTGTTCAATTCATTGTTATTGATGAAACTGACCTATTAGACACGACTGTCTATCAAATTGTAATGATTGTATTCATGATTTTTACTTAACAGACTGGTTTGTCCTTGTTTCTTATGCTTTGCTTTCTGTCATTTTGTTCATGTATGTGTGTAAGACGTTGCTTTTGTCGGGACCCCCTTGAAAACGAGATGGTGCATCTCAAGGGGTTTATCCTAATAAATACATGTCTATATATATAAAAAATGTAATGTGCTGTCTGTCCTCATTACAGCTAGCGAAAGACAAAGAGCGTCTGCAAGCGATGATGACGCACCTTCACGTCAAGTCCACGGAGCCCAAAAACACCCCACAGCCGGTGAGCCCTGTCATTCCTCCTCTATCTGTCTCCCCCCCCCCCCTCCCTCCTCCATCCTTTTGTTTGTCTTAATTGGCACACATGTATTCATTAATCCCTTCCTCCATCTTCTTATTTATCTGCTAAATAAAAACAGCTGTTCTCTTGAGGGAGGCAGTAAATATTGTTTCGGAGCACATCTGCTGACATTCGAGATTCAATTTGGAGGCTGTGATGAACTGGAGCTGCTGTAACAGCTTCAGAGAGGCGGAGTGAGGGGAGACGGAAATACAGTCATATCACACGCTATATCTAATAAATACACAAAATATGCTCTTTATTTTTGAGCACTTTGTCAACATTAAAGTACATTTCCAGCTTGATAACATCAAATGACAGGAACATTTATTATATTATTATACCTATCTTATTTCAACAAAAATTCAATTACAAATGATACTCCTCTAAAAACAATTGAATACTCATATACAGTAAAAAAAAACAACACCATTAGCATTGTTTAAAATATATGTAATATTAACCTAATGTGTGTTTTTATGCGTCTCGTTGTTTTTCTCATAATCTTTTATCTAAAATGCTGGTTGAGTGAACTAAGTGTAAAAACATGTATCTTGCAGGATGAGATGATAACACAAAATGTTTTACTTAAATAAGTCAATTTAACTACTTACAGACAACAAATGACTAATTATGAACTGTTTTGATAATTAATGAATTGTTAACGTCATGCAAAATAGTAGAAAATGCTGTTCCAGCCCCTCAAGTATTGACATGTGTTGCTTTAGATTGGTTTAATATCACGTTAAAGTCAATATCTTTGGTTTTTAACTGACAAAAAAAGACCATTTAAACATTTTATCTGACATTTTATAGACCAAACGATTAGGAAACAGAGAAAATAATCTGCAGATGAATCAACAACATAATATAATGTGTAGCCCTGTTGGTGTTACCCCTACATTCCCTGCAAGTGAACCACATACTCTGAATAAACGTACAAGCAGATCCATTTATTCTCTCCTTGTCACATTGCTCACATCATGCTTATCACTCTTAATATACGCCACGCCATAAAGCCTGCTGACTAATCCCCATCCTATAGGGGCGAGGGCTTAACATATGGCATGTAAGTGTCTGCGCTATTTTGTCATGTTTAAGAAGAAGGGGGCCTCAGCACCGCTATCAGTTAGTCTGCATGACAGTGATCATTATACTGCAGGGTGTGAATCTCAAACCACACACACAGATGCACAGGAGGAGTCTGAGTCCTTTATTTACAGTCAGAGAGGGGATGGGGACGACAAAAGGCTGCCTGTGAAAGCTGTGTCACACACGCTGATGCTGTAGATTAGAGTGCAGAACGAGGGGCTCTGACACGGGGGGACATTTGTATATGAAAAGTGGGCCGGAGCGGCAGATAGCATCTTGAGTTCACTCCCTCTCCTCCCCCCCAGCGTTCTCACTCTCAAGGGGGCAAGCTGGGGTTTGTATTCAAATAAATAGACTCCCCTTTTGCCTGCTGCGAGCTGCCCCTGAAATGCTATGATAGATATGTCTGGCTGAGCAGTGGACTCTCACAGGTCAGGGCCTCCGTGAGGTTTTAGTGAGATTGCAGGAGCAGAGGTGGCCACCAAAGAAAAAGAGAACGCCTGCTTTGAATAAAAATGTCCTCTGAAGGAAGCAGCTCTGAAGAAACAATTGTGTTCTTCCAGTAATTGCTGCTGTCCTGCCGTTTCTGCGTTTAATAAAGCCGTGTGTAAGTAGCCAACTGTCATAGCAGAGTAGCTGGTTTACATGTACTCATAATTAAAGACAAACAAAGTGATACTGTGCATGCACGCCGACAAATGAATGGGATTCATTTTTATTCTTCTGAGGTGGACGAGGAAGCGGGGGAAGATCAAAACAAAATGTGCCACATTAGCATTGCGTGTTCCTGTGTGTGTGTTTGTATTTGCCTGTGTGTGTGTGTGGGTGGGTCTGCACTCGGTGTCACTAAGCATTCTTGTCAGAAATCTGACCTTTTACGCCATACATAATTAAGGAGGGACTTTTTGTTTATTTTCTTTAGCAGCTTGCCGAGTCAAAGCCAGTATAATTAGATCACCAATTACCATTTAATTAATTTCAGTCTGAAGTCTCATTTTGTCCACGCACTGGAGTGAGCCCAAATGGCGAGGCAAACAAAGGCGAGGCTATTACCAGCCTGTCTGGCCTATTGTTGAAGCCTCTCTGTGTTTATGGCCAGGGAATATGGATGAAACATGAAACAAAGCCCGCTAATCCACAGGAAGAGAAGTCAACACCGCAAAGCCCCGTTCTATTGATAGCATTGTGTCAGAAACACGCGAGCCCAAGTGTGATTTATTTAGTCCGTGATTTAGAATAACACGTCTCCTGCTACTGTTGCTGAGGATGGAGCCCTGCATCTGTGCGTCCCAGCAGTAATCCAAATGATTTGGGCAGACTCTGCCAGAAAGCTGCAGTTCAGCCTGCGAAACGTAAATAGACATTGTGAGGAGCTGGACACATGTCTGTTAAAGAGGGATTTGAGAAAACACAATTCACTCATTATAGTTGGAGCAGTTGCAACTTCATTGTTCATTAAGGTGTATTTCATGTGACGTAAAAAGTTGTATAGATTTTTTTATAGATATTTTATGCAAAACTGTCAGAAAATGCCGTTTTTAGCCATTACAAGTTCATTTTTTTGATTTTATATCAGAATAAATTGAATATATTGAAGGTTTGGCTGACAAATCATGACATTTAAAGCTGATCTTTGAGAAACTTGGATGGACATTTTTCATTAATTGTACTATAAAAATTACTTTTAAAATGATATAATATATATATTATACAATCAAATATTAATATATAATTCTAGAAAATCATTGGCACAATAATCGTTCATGAGAATAATTGTTACATTTATCAAATATAAGGGGAAAAATGACATCCCTTCAGCCTGAGATCTGCTATTTCTTATGTTAAATATACCTGTTGCTAATGAGTGCTAATAGGAATATTAATAAGGTCGTCATAGACGTCATGAGCACCAATCAGACTCGTAATCAACACATGACGTCAGAGATGAGTCGTGCCCTCCCAACACTCTGCATCCTCTTCCTCTTCCTCACAGTCTGAAGTCATGTGTCATTTGGATGCTGGCCTCCTTCGGCAAATTAGCAATTAGAACAATTTTGCGGGAATATGTATATGTGTCATTAGGTTTCCTGCCAATTAATAGCAGGGGGGGGGGGGGGGGTCAGGCTTGAATTTTCCACTTGACTTGACTGCAGTGTGTGGAGGCAGCTGCTGGAAGCCATGCTGTACCTTACGGAGACATAATTAGTTTACCTTGTAGCCATTATTACTTAAGTCCCGCCTTCTCCTTTATTCAAAACACACACAGGCCTCCGTGGGTAAACCAAATATTCTCTGTCCATCGTCTTCTCCACGGCCCGGTGATGGAGGTCATTTAGAGACAGCAGTTAATCATCAGATCACCTCCATAAGCAGCTCCTAATTAGAGTCCTCACAATACAATCCCAGCTCGTAATTAGCCCAGATTGGCTTCCTCCTCTGGCTGCCTTATTAGCGGGGCGGCTCAGCGGTAGGTAGGGAGGTGAGAATCATTTCTCACAGCCGTTACGTCTTCTCTGCTCCAAACCTTCACCGGTGGTCACCAAGCCGCGGACCCCAAAAACAGGACAAGAGGGACACATTCAAGGATTCAAGGCTTTTATTGTCATATGTACATAGCTACAGTGTAGTTATGACAATGAACATCTTAGGTCACAACAGTGAAACACAGTAAAACAGATAATAAGTGCAATAAAATAGAAATTGTGCAGAATAGTCTATATACAAGTAATTGAAATATTGATATATATAAGTTGCAAACGGATGAATGTTATGGATGTTCTTTCAAAAGTTCAGGTGAAGTTCAGGTGAAGCTGGGAATCAGAGAGCAGAGCGGGAAGAATATCGGAGGCTGCAGGGTAGTGTCCCAAACGTTCAGGGATTATCACTGCGATAACAGAGGAGATCTGCTCAGCCAATGAGGCGTCGGAGCTCACGAGAGGTCTAACTCCTGTCTGCGTTTGTTTTCCATCTTCCAGCTCAACTTGGTGTCCAACGTCACACTGTCCAAGTCGGCCCACTCAGCCTCGCCCCCCCTCAGCCTGCCCCAGACCCCCACCACCCCCACGGCCCCCCTCACGCCGCTGTCCCAGACCCACTCCGTCATCACCGCCAACAGCCTCCACAGCGTGGGCCCCATGCGGCGGCGCTACTCAGACAAATACAACATGCCCATCTCTCCAGGTACAGTGCACACACTTTTTTTATTATCATTTTTTTTAATCTTTAATACTTTTTAATGCATGCTTCTTAGGTTAAGCTTGTTTCTGCTGTAACAATGTACATGTCCCCTCTGTGGAACTAAGAAAGGTATTCTGATTCTCATTCTGACACATATAGATATTGTATCTGTAAATTAAAGCTGCAACCATACATCCATTTTAGCTAATGTATTAATAGTTCAAGTCCATTTTTATGCAAACATTTCAGGTAATGCTGTTTTTAGCTTCTCTTAAATGTATACTTCCTTCTTTACTCTATTTCATATCATATTAAAGTGAATATATCTGTGTTTTGGACTAACAAAACATGACATATAAAGAAGTCACCGTGGACTTCGAGACACTAGGAGGGACATTTTATTGCTGTTTTCATTATTTGTTAAAGACCAAAGGATGAAAATGATCACAATAATGGATAATAAAAATGTGAGTGTTAATAGAAATATTCAATTAGGATGTCAGAGACGTCATCAGCACAGGTCCACCTTGAAATCAACAAATGATGAGACGTGTCCTCCTACAATGCCTTCCGTTTTTAAGACCTTTAAGGCAGCTGGGATGGATGTTTTTCACTATTTTGGACCAAATGATTATTCAGGAAAATGATAGGCAGATGAGTTGCAGCCCTAGAGTATACACACATAGACACATGTGATCATGCTAATATGTGCATTATCATCCACTGATGGGACATTCCTGTTGACACTTGCTCATTGTATTCCATGCTTCCTTCCCTGTGTGCAGATCTCAGTCAGAACAAAGAGTTTTACATGAATGCAGAGGTTCGACCGCCGTTCACGTACGCTTCGCTAATAAGACAGGTGAGCTTGTGCTTTCTTTTTAAAGTGTTGTATTCTTAACATCCTCCACCCCGCTTAGAAACACAGCTATTCAAAAAAAACTACATTTGTTGGATTTATTTCTCTCCTTGTTAAAATGCAATTTAGACAGAGGGGCAGATTAACCATCTTCAAATGAGAGCATTTCAAGAAAGAAAGAAAAAAAACAGCCATATATGACAATTGCATTTGATTAAGCATTTCTGAGATTATTACCAAATTCATTTCACACAACAGTAGGGATGAACCTGTTTTAAGATGGCCAGTCAATTATCGCCGGGCCGCAGTAATCTGGGATCTCAGGAATTAATCTGAGCCATAATTGCTGCCCTGTAATCTGCCTGAGAAATGTTTTCCACTTGCCCTTCATTTACCCACAAAGGAACAATATATTCATGTCTGCAGTTATTGACTGTGCATGAGACTTCTTAGCACTTTTCCACAGCCTGTTTCCTTTCTGTTTGTCTGTTTTCCTCAAGAGAACACACACAAACCTGAATTATTGATCACTTTGTGACGGGAGCAAGATGCTAAATGTTTGTTTCTGTCGCTGTTCCCTCATCCAGGCAATCCTCGAATCTCCAGAAAAGCAGCTAACACTAAACGAAGTCTACAACTGGTTCACGCGAATGTTTGCATATTTTAGACGCAACGCGGCGACGTGGAAGGTAATTTGACTTTTCCTCCCGACTTCCTTACACCAGACAGACCGAGAGAAGGAGACATTGTGTTCGTGTTGTGGAGAATGAAATGATATCCAGCGCCCTAATGTCTTTATAAACCAACCTTTACCAGAAGCCATTACAATGCTCCACTTTATTCTGTCCAAATGAACCACCCTTTAAACTAACAAAGGTAACCACATGGAAAAACCAAAGAGCAGGAATATGTGCATTCTTGTGAAAAGAAAAGAGGGGAAAATAGAGAGAAAGAGGGGGATGGAGGGGAGAAAAGGAGTCTCCCTGTAATATGTTGGGATGTTCTGGTGGTGGGTGGCATTAGTTTAACACAGCAGCGCTCTGCCAGTGACTCCTGGCTGAGCCTCTCACACACACTTCAGAAGGAACACTCTGTTTTCTGCCAGGCCACACACACACACACACACACACACACACACACACACACACACACACACACACACACAACAAAAACAAAACAACAACTTAACAAATACCAGGACTGAGTGGATTTAAATGAGTAAGTCAGTGGCAGAAGTCAGATTTGTTGTCTATATTCCATAAAGAGACTCTAATCTTTCTCTCTCATTTGTTTTCATGGCCAGTCAAAAATTCCTGTTTAGTCCGTGCCGCTTTCAGAACAGGAATTATTGCTAAGTATTTCCACTTGTGTCCTATTTGTTTGACTTTGGGAACACAGCCTCCCTCATCCCTCCTTCAAACACCCCTCTTGAGAAAGTTTGTGTTGCAATATGTGCACACATCCAAACACATGTTGATATGAAAGTCTTGAAAGTAAGTGTGCTCCTCCTTAATAACAGAAATGCAGGATTTACTTTTGGTCGTGCATCTCTCGGTGGTTTGTACACAAAGCACAGAACTGGCTGTAAACAGGCTGTGTGTTCTGAGGTATATTCAAACTACGCCGTGCAAAGCCTTGTCTTGAAACCTGAATAATGTAATAACATCCCACATGTCTAAATAGTATTACACCAACGTGGCATTCTGAATAATAATAGATTTGAAATATGAAAACAGAATATGCTGATCACACATATCAAATTGTAAATACTGGCATATTCTTAATACAAGGTGAATACTACACTCGAAAGAAAAAAACGTTTAAAAAAAACTTAATTTAAAAGTATTTTGTTAACAGGTTCCACCTAATACATTAATAAACAATTACATCTTAACTGTTTACAAAATACATTTAATTAAGGTCCACTTTTCTTTGGAGTGTAGTGCCCATGTTAAACAGTCAGTGATAAAGCTCTTCGAAAGCTAACACACACACACACACACACACACACACACACACACACAGACGCACACACGCACACACCAACACCACCAGCAGCAGCCTGCTCTCACACTCGCTGACAGTCCTTCCATAGGGGCACATTGTGTGTTACAGCCACTGGATTCCACAGCTCTCTCACACTCCGTTCACACACACACACACACACACACACACACACACACACACACACACACACACACACACACACACACACACACACACACTCACATTGCAAAGGGGAAATGACCAGAACCTTTTTTCTAGTCGGTGAAAATCCTCTAAATAAAGTGTTGAGTTTCTCTATCTCTCTGATCAGAGAGGGGCACTTAAGAAAGAATGATGTCATTAACTCTATCGCCATGGATACTGATAAATATTATGTTGTTTAAGTCATTTGAAACTTCAGGGCCGTTTCCTGCCAATAACACTGTGGTGTATTTATTGTGTTCCTTCAGGTTTCATCCAGAAAATATGTCCTCTCTGATATTTCTCCTCCCATGCAGTTTCCTGTACTGATAGCAACCTCTGTTTCTCTCTCCTGTCTTCCTGTTTGACACCAACTGCAGAACGCAGTCCGGCATAATCTTAGTCTTCACAAGTGTTTTGTGCGAGTAGAAAACGTAAAAGGGGCTGTGTGGACAGTCGACGAACTAGAGTTCCAAAAGAGACGGCCTCAAAAGATCAGTGGGTAGGTTGTGGTCCTCCAGCCTCCACCTAGCGTCTGTCTCTATGGAAACGCTCCATCTCATGTCGTCTGTGTGCCGTAACGTTCGCTTGCTTTGGCCCCCCCATGGTGATGCCTCATAACCCACAATGGCTTTCATTTTGACCCTCTCCCCTTTCCTGTGTCTTGTCTATCTGTCTGTCTCATCAATCACTGCATCTGCATCTGGCCGCCCCCCCCCCCCCACCCTCCCCTCCTCGCCTCCCTTCCTGCTGCTGGTTTGCTTTCCCAGGGTGCCGTGCGCACCAACCTTTCCCTGCATAAGTGCTTTGTGAGAGTAGAGGATGAGTGTGGGTCTTTTTGGACCGTTGATGATGGGGAGTTTAAGCGCGGCCGCCACATTCAGAGAGGCCGGCCTCGGAAACACGCCGCTGACGAGAACTTTGACGTACAGTAAGCACCTCCGCCTGCCAAACTCCAGAGGCCCCGCCCCCGCTTGCATGCCCCCCCCCCCCCCCTCCTCTCAGTGTTGCCATCATGCTTTTTTTGTGTGTTCATGTATCATGCTTTGCCTCCATCAATTCCATTTTCTCAAAGACAGTTGTGTGGTATTGTCAAGTGATTGAACATCTTAAAAGCCACATTACTACACCAGTAAATGTATTTAGTACTTATACAAAGTGCATTGATTTCCTCTTATGAAATAAGATACCGTAGCAGAGGAATGCATGCTAGGTGAGACACGAGTCTGTGGTTGTAATTGGATTTTTCTCTCTGCAGAAGTCCCAACTTAGTGAAGAACATTCAGACCAGCCTGGGCTACGGTCCCACCCTCTCTGCTGCCTTCCAGGTAAACACAGCACTGACCTCATCCTCAGCTGCTCAGAGAACTCAGATCCTTTACTGTAGTTACTCTGTACAGAAACTTAAGTAAAAGTGTGTATCAGTTGGAATACATATTTTCTGGTTTTTACTGTTATATATGATGTTTTTGGATTATTATCTATGCTGCATTAATGTAAATATTGCATTTTACGGGTTAACATTTCTAGATTAGGGTTAGGGTTAGTTTTTTGTCTACAGCAACCCATTACATACTATAAGATCATCATATATATTATACATGTACAGTATGAGTTTCTCCCTGATTTAACACAGATTATATAAAATAACATTTGCTAACAATGAACCTCATTGTCCTACAATTATAAACGTACTCAAATAAACTTGTGTAAGTGATATCAGCAGATTTCACTTCAGAATATGAAGGTACAAGTACATGGAATTTGTAAATGAAATACTAACATCAACTTAATTGTCATTAAAAAGAGTCCTGAGACCGAAACATGCAGTTTATCACCTCACCAGAAGTAGAGCTAAAAGCTGTATTACATACGTTTAGGTATAAATAATGAGATATAAACATATGCAGTGAGGTATATAATGTACATACCACCACTGTGCCTCACTCAGAACTCAAAACATTAAGAAGGAGAAAAAAATCTCCTCTGTTTTTTAAGGGGGTGTGCTGGTGTGAAAGGAGTGATGGGCGGCTGAGAAAGTGCTGACAAGCCTCTTCCGCTTCACATTCTGATGCCCCGGGCTTTGCTTTTCAGGCTTCAATGGCAGAGAACAACATACCTCTATACACTACTGCTTCCATTGGGAGTCCCACCCTCCACTCGCTGGCGCACGCCTTCCGCGAGGAGATGAACGGGGCGATGGACCATGGAAACAGCAACGGCAGCGACAGCAGCCCGGGACGCTCGCCCCTGCCAGCTATGTGAGTGGCGCCCCCCCCCCCCCTTATATCTACAGTTTCAGATGCTCGCTGACTAAATAATACTCTGGAGTGACTTAACACATGGCATGAGATAAGAGGGGAGCTACGAGGACAATACATAAAGTGAGGAGGGATGATATTGGAGCAGTGTGGGGGGTTGTGTGTGTGTGTGTGTGTGGGGTTGTGTGTGTGTGTGGGGTCACGGCCAGAGCTGCAGCCGGCCGCCCCGCTGAAAGAGGAAACTCCACCTTTTAGGAAAGGAAGAAAAGCCCCTGTGTTATTTTAACAATGGGTTTATGAACTCTCCTTTATGTGTCCTGCCGTCTGTTTCAGGCCCAACACAATTCCAATATGTCTTCAATGTTTTTTAGACGATCACCAGAAAAGTAATTGGAAGCTTTTTTTGCTAATCTGTTCATCGTTAAAGTCCTTTTTCTTTCTAAAATGTCAGGAAATGCCATTTCCAATCGCTCAAATATGGATATTTCTTGCTTTTCTGTATTTTGTCCCATATTCAAGCGAATATATTTGGGTTTCGGACTCACAAAAAAGACATGTAAAGAAACTAGAATGGATATTTCTACTATATTTAACCCAAATGATTAATCAAGAAAATCATAGGCAGATAAGCTGCAGCTCTATTTGTTTTATCATTCACTGACAAGACATTCCTGTTGATGATTTGATTCCATGTTTGAAAGGAAAGGAAGAAAAGCCCCTTTGTTATTTAAACAGCGAGTTTATGAACTCTCCTTTATGTGTCAGTCTGAGTCCGGCCATGATTCCAATTTGTTAAAATATTTACAAAATGCCAGAGCGCAGAGTGACAGAGCTGCCGGCTCCGACACAATCATAAACGCCTCGGAGACGCCGAAACAGAACAACAACACAAAAGCGTAATTAGTCTGGAGGACATCGTCCAAGATTCTCGTGTAGGAAAGTTGCGGTCGGCGTGGAAACCGCAGCTCCCCGTTCACTTGTTGTATAGGAGTGTCTGCTAAGTTGTTTGAAGCCTAAAATAACACAGCGCACGCCGCATCGTTTCCAGATGTGGGGGCAGACCACCGGCTCGGGGATGGCCTCCTGAAACGTCTGAGCTTTAGGGGAAATTGTGCCTGAAAACAAAAAAAGGTGCAGTAATGAGCTCCTGGCCAAATGGAGGGAAGTGCCATCCCTGATCACTGAGAACATAGCTGGGAGCGTGGCTGTGGAGCAGGAAAGCAGAGACAGGATGGGTGTGTGGGCCCTGAAGGCACCACGCTCCTCCCTCTGCCCCTCCGTGCTGTCTTCAGGCAGCTCACACACACATCCATAATTATGTATATAAGCTTAATGCAAGCACAAAATGAGTTAAACCTGTTTTATTTAGCTTTTTAAGAACTTTATTCTCTTATTACTAAAACATACCCGCTTTAGATGTTATATAGAGTCAGTGGTGGAATGTAATACATTGACTGTGAAGTTCTGTACTTACTGTAAGCTAAAACTTGAGGTACTAGTACTGTGCATTTAGTACTGATGATGATGCCTTGCTATAGAATAAACAACCCAACAGTGTAAGAGGAGATTAAATGAGAGCAACCATACAGATGTAAAAAGCTGCATTAAAATAGTAAAAACCTGACAATGCTTTATTGTTATGCAATTTAACTTAGGTCTGAATGCAAGACTTTAAGTTGTAGTAGAGTATTTACACAGTACTTATACTTGAGTAAAGGATCTGAGTACTTGCACACAGTAGCACCATAACTCATGAGCAAAATGATGCCCTGGCTCACACACTTCCAAACACACGTCCAGCCCGCTGCTCACCGTGTCCCAACATGTGTTTTCCACGTGTGTGCAAGCCGCCTGAAAGGACGCAGCTTCTTAACGCCAACAGAAACCAGAGCACTTCAGACGAGAAGCGTGCATCCACAGAAAGCTAATTATGAGCAAAGTGTGGAATCAGCATGCAGTTCAATAGCATAATAATAACAATTTCATGTGTGCCCCGCAGCCACAGGCAGACCTGAGGCACTTGTGGAGTTACTTTGATGTGAAACTGATAGAAAAGCTGACTTTACTTTCCCCCCCAACCTCTTTATAATTCACACAAATGTATGTCAGTTAGCTCGTTAGCATACGACACAATCGTTGTAAATGACACAAGACGTAGCAGTGTGGATGAATCAAATGCTAGGCTCCGGTGTTAGGGTTAGGGTTAGGTTTCAATGGCATTATATATACAATAAAACAAGTTCCCAGCAGCCACAGAGGCAGACCTGAAGCACTTGTGGAGTGAATTTGATAGAAAAGCTAACTTTACCTTTTCAACCTGTTTTTTTTTTAACACAAATATATGTCAGTTAGCTCATTAGCATACAACACAATCGTTGTAAATGACACATGCCTACCCGGTTTGGATAAATCGAATACTAGGCCCCTTCGTAGGGTTACTTGTGGATTTATTTCGATTTTTTACAAAAGCTGACTTTACTTTCCCCCCCCTTCTTTTAAAATAAAAAACTCAAATTAAAACATGTCAGTTAGCTCGTTAGCATACGACAAAAAAAGGTTGCAAATCCCACAAGGCGTCCCGGTGTGAACAAATCAAATGCTAGGCTCCGGTGATGAAGAACGCTGTCCCTTGTTGGGGTAGTAAATGAGCGCGGTGCCTCATCCTGACACCTCTCTACCTCCACCTCTCCTCCTGGCACCTCTCTACCTCCACCTCTCCTCCTGGCACCTCTCTACCTCCACCTCTCCTCCTGGCACCTCTCTACCTCCACCTCTCGCGGGTTAGAGCGCCACGTCCCCTGCAGCTTTTCATAACGTGTTTTTTTCCTGCTTTCTGCCACTGCCAGGCCTCCTCTCCCCCCTCCTGCTCTGTTTCATGTAATGAGAAATTTGGCAGATCTCATCTCTTTAGTGGCTCTTTTGCCCAGGCTGTGAGCTGTAAAAGGGCTGGGGGGGGGGGGGGGGCTCATGTTTTTGCCTTGTTTACAAGTGACAGCGTTATTATTCTCATAAGGGCTCTGTTTCTTATCGCCGTGTTGTGCCGAATGCGCCTCTCCTGCCAGCGCTTTTCTTCCCGCGTATTGACACTCGCTTGAAAATATGCATTAATTCTGGAGTTTAGAGCGCCGGTGTCTGGTCGCTGTGTTTGCTTGAAGTTGATTAATGATAGAAGCCGGCGCGGGGTCGTCCTCTGGAGACCCGCCTCGCAGGTTGTGCATGTTAACGAGCAGGAAGGGGAACACACAGCGCGCCGCTGATCCTCCGCCACCAGGAGGCTGACAACGGCCGACTCCATTCTCTCCTGCGCTCCACTCACGCTGTTAATCTCCCTCATTTATCAATTCTAAGTGAATACCCTGTTGTCGCTTGCCACAAAAAAAAAAAAAGCCAGCAGCTTTTTACCGGGATGGGACTACCTCAAAAGAAAATTATCACGAGCACCAGCGAGGCTCTCAGTGAAGCCAGACGTTTGTTTTTGTTCCCCTGTTTCCTCCTCTATAAACAGAATCAGGTCTCTGTCGTTTTGAAGGGTTATTAAAAAAAAAAAAGAATTGGAGCCATATCTTCTCTCTGCTCTTCCTCCTGCAGGCATCACATTAAGGAGGAACCACTGGACCCCGAAGACCACGAAGGGCCCCTCTCCCTGGTAACGACCGCCAATCACAGTCCGGATTTCGATCACCATAGAGACTACGACGACGACCAGGGCCACGACGACATGCTGTAAGGCTAGCAGGGGCCCCACCTCCCACCACCCCCCCGACCCTCCATCCTCCCCGGGGCCTCAGAGGCAGTCTGGGTAATCTGGGAGACAGAAAAAAACGCTCGGCAGATAACAAACACTGAACTGCAGTCTCAGCGCTCAAATGTCTCCCAGTTCACTTTTTTAGTGCCATTACAAAACACACACACTTTTCTTTCCTGATTTCTTTCTACTTCTGATTTAAGTAAAGCTTAAAAAGTGAAACTTCATTTCTACTCCTGTGTGGGATGGACTCCTTTGGTACGGGGGCGATGCGTTCAGGGTCAGAGACCTTTATTCGCCACGCAGCCAGGACGGACTGCACTCAGCGGACTGCAAGAGGGGGTCGTCTCCCCCCTTTTCTCTCTCCCTCTCTCACACATCTGACCACAGACTCACAGAGAGAGAGAGTGACTGACGTTTAATTTACACCGTGTGTGTGTAAACGACTTGTGTTCATTGTCACTGCCTTCAACACTTCTCATCGCTTTGATTCCATCGGGTGGGTTTTTATTCGGGTGTTTTTGTTGTTTTTATTGTCGGGGAGGGGTAAGATGTTCTAAAATATCAACATGATGTGTCTTTTTCCATTTTCAATGTTCCTTTTTCTTTAAACTGATCAGACCTCATGCCCATGCTGTGGAGATTGTGTGTGGTCAGCACTTGATGATGAATGTTTGTGATTTTTTCTCTTCTTTAAATACACACACATGAAGCCGAATGTCACGTACCGAGTAGTGTTTTTCTGTCATTTATTCCACGAATCTTCAAAAAAAAGAAAAAGGGGAAAGAAAACTCTGATGTGTAGCCCGCCCCTCCCCCCACCTGCTCATGAAGTCCATTGGCAATGCACTACTCGTAATGAAGGCTCTCTCCACGCATCAATGAAGTTTAATTTAAGATGCGAATGAATGACAGAGAAATCATGCAGGTTATGATTTATCCTTATGGAATTACACTTTAAAACAGCCCCTCACGGCAGAGCGTGTCGAGCCGCAACACCATTTCTGATCACTTACTAGTTTTTCTTTTTTTTTATACAAAGCAGGATGGAAATGTCAGGTGTGCGCCGGAGAGATAATGATTTAGACCAACTAATTGTGATTCCTGAACACAACCTGCCATTGTTAATCAGACGTGTCTTCAGACGCTGTAATTCCATTCAGTGCTTGATGATAAACGTGCATTCCCTGTAGTTTTATTTGTATCCCGCGCATGACCAGTTTCAGTGAGGATGAAATATTCATTTTTTATCAAATGTAGAATTTCCAAGACTTGCAATAAGACCCAAACGTCGCACATTCCAGCATTTTGACAGCTATCGTAAAGGGCCCAAACATACAGTACATGCCATTTATTTTAAATGTGGATACTCTGATGTTCAATGTCACCCAAAAATAGTTGTAATCCGCAGCATTGAATCAATTCCTCATTGTGATGCAGCGATTTCAGCTTAGGTAGATCTCTACTAGACCATGAATTTCAAGACTGCAATCAACCACTTTTTATTTATTATTATAATTTTTCTTTGGCTTATTTTTTCTTTCTGTTGATGTGTTTAATATCTTGTTCTGTGACTACCAAAGATAAACTACAAAGTCAATGTTGTGTGTTCCATGCAATATCAGATAAGGCCAAATATCTCTCCTCTAGAAAGAATCAATGAGGGGGGGGGGGGGATGCTCTTCAAACTGGTGTTTCATTCATTTATTATTAAAAACCAAAGGGGTGTGAAGAAGAGGGACGGCTGCAGTAATGTTTGCAGTGACCAAAACGGAGCGGGGCGATGACCAAATTAGGAAAACGTTAGTCTTTTTGGGGCCAGTAAGAGGAAAAAGGGAGCGTTTCGGTGAGGAGATTTGAACATAAAGGGTAAAATCGACGAGGAAAAATAAACCGGTAAATGGAAAAAGCTTTGCTAGGGAACAATGTGAAACAGATACTTCAACTGGACCATGCTATGATTCTCTTTTCTTCATTTTGTATCCTTTGAAATGATTGTAAGCCACTTTTTCGGGGGGTTTTAAGCATCTTTTTGGCTATGATTGTGTTCAGTTTCTTATTACTTTTTTTATATTAAAAAAAAAAAACACTCCTGTCAACTAATAAGCTGGGTACAAGGTACTTTATGGCAGTTTTTATTGTTATTATTTCACCGCTTATTAAGTAAAAAACAAAAAAAAGGGCAATCTGTGGTTTCCAGAAGTATTTAATATCCAGGCAGCTGTGGGACGGGTCAGTTTCAGCTCGGACCGTGAGAACAGCCGAGCTCATCCACAAACCGCCCCCCCCCCCCCCCCCCAACCGCCCCGTTCATCTGGCTGCGTGTTTGGGATCGAAAAAGGAGAAGAAGCGCTGGTAGATTCTCAGCATGCATAGCTTGACGTTACTAAAGATAACAGCATGAGAAAAAAAACATTTGTACGCATACCTCAGTTCAAACCTATAGGGAATGATTCAATTAAATGAGGGGAAATAAATAAACATTTCACTCAGTTGCACTTAGTTGTATGTCTTGCATGTGTAGTCTGATACTGTAGAGAGAAAACTACAAAAAAAATGAAATTAGAGTTTGTTTATCAAAGGTTTCATCCTTTTTTCATTATCATTTTTTGCCAAACCAATCCAAACCTCAGGCCTTTTGTTCATCCTCCTGTCACTGTCCTCCGCTGTAATGATGGGTTGTTTTAAGGGCGTTCCAATATTCGGTTGTACATACATGTCGGTAAAGTCTCTGTCTTTTTTCTTTTTTTTTTAAGATCAAAAGATTTGTGTTATTGCTTTATCGCGACTGCTTTGTATTAACTATGAAATAGCTATGAGAAAAAAAACTGCTGTATGTATTGGAATAGCAAAACTGTGCTGCAAATGTATTTTACTTAGTAATCCTTGCTTTAAAAAAAAAAAGAAAAGAAAAAAAAAAGAATCATCCATGCAGACATCTGGGCAGGCCGGGGGGGAGATTATCCCCCATTTTGGATTTTAAAACTGTAATATAGAAAAAACAGACTTTTCTCTGTTATCATTGACCTAAGCATTTTGTACAGATTTTTCCCTCTTTGTGTTAAAGCTGTTTTTTGATACTTCCTTTTGATGGTCCAACCACTGCCTTCTGTGGCTGTATGTTAGAGATTACCGCTCTGAGAAAAAGGGCACACAGGTATATTTCCTCTACGAGACGGAGATATCTTGCATGACTAATCCCAGGGTCACAGAGAAGGGGGAGGGGGGGGGAAATATGTTTTAAGTGGTCAGTAATAATATAAGGGTGTAACAATCTAATGATATTTTATATGAAATGAATAGGAAAAAGTAAAAAAAAAATATGCAGTGCCAAGATGTAAAGAATATTGTTAAATGCTTTTTTGTTTCGTTCATTTCACGCACGCATCAAAGATGTGTCCTTCTCATCCATGTCATGTAGGTATTTTGTTCGGCATCAAGATATTTATATTTTTATCTCAAAGGGTCATTGTAAATGAGTCAAACCAAGCACAGCGGACAGGTCAAAGGTCAGACGCCCTGCAAACTGCGGCCGTGTGGCATCAGATCCCCGACATCACACGCTGGCAAAAAAAAAAAAAACGCCATTGTTTCATCCTTCACCAACCATCCAGCCCGCTGTCATCGTCCCCCTCTCTCACACACTCTCTCCAGAAAGAGGGGGAGGGAGGATGAAGGGGGGGGGGGGGGCAGGAGCTGTCACGGTGCTCTCATCCCGCAGCAGCTTTTCTATCTCTTACTTTCTGTTTTTCCTTTGAAGATGTACTCTGTAGTTTATTTTATTTTCTTTCTTTTTTTTATAGAGAAATATTATTGCTCATCACTTTCCATCAGTCTGTAACCTCCTCATCATTCCTCGTCTGTCTGATGCAGACCACTCTGTTGTAGTCAGTGGCGATGACTGACGTGAGCATTCTAAACATGCAATAAAATGCTGGTTGTTCAGATCCTCGGCTGCAAGTGTCTCTCTTTGTATCGGAGTGTGTGTGGAAGTATTGATTGTTTTTCAACGGCTGTGCAGAATTAGGAAGTCATCTTAAATTGAATGCATTACATTTGAGTTTTGTTTGCACATTTACGATCGAGGGTTACAGGTTCAAATTTATCTGAGTTCTGCCTTTTTTGTCAGAATATGGGAGATTATCACTTTAAGAATTGCTTTTTGAGTTTGTTAGTTACTGGTCCTCAACAGCATTATACATGAAAGTAGTGTTCTATAACTATGGGGGTAAAATATAACAGTCGAAGTTATCACATTTGGTTACCCCACAAGGTTGTGACTGCTGCTGCTTTTATTTTTGTGTCAGTTTATTTTTGTTTTGTAGATTTTGGTATGTTTTGTCATACGTATAGGTCTTAAGATTGTCTGATGACCGTTGAGGATGAAATTGGAAATAGAAACATGTTTTTCACATATGTCCCTAATACTCTTCCGTACATGAGCAAATCAGACTAAAAGTGAATGTATTTAATTTAAGATGGGTTCCTAATTCTGCATTCTGCACAACAGCTCTTTGCATGTGTCCTTAATCCTCTTCCATACATATAGAAGATTTAGCTTTTTCTACAATGCTAAACAGCTTTGTGCTGAGCTACCATCTAATGCAATGTCAACCAATGCATCAAAAGTTAACATTTCTGACGCACACAAAATCATAATACAAGATAAATGATCATGTTAGTATTAACAGAGCACAAGTTAAATCTCTTTCTCATCATTTTGTCCTGCAGAAGGGCTTCACACAGACTCCTGTTTGTCATCTGCAGCAGGACTCTCATCTCAGCCTCAACATTAAATTATATCGTAATTAAAAAGCGACAGTTAAACTGTCTTTTCCTAACAGCAATTTAGGTAACTGCATTTGATAAGCTATAAATTGTACCAGCATTAAAATTCCAGAAATAATAGCGATATGGATTTGGTGACGGGAGCTAATGCTGATGACCAGGAGTTGTGTTTTTATGACGGAGGCACAGGTCATGTTGGCCACTAAACAGGAGACAGAGATCAAGTCTAAGCACTTTTAATCTTGTGAAACAAGCAATTACAAATAGTTGCATTGATTTGTTAAAAAGCTTTAGGTGACATAAATCGTTTCTTGCTTAGCTTATTGCTGGAAAACATAAATGTCAAGTGTATTATTAATTAAGGCCTTTGAAAGACAAGATTTAATGGAAACGATATAAAATCACAAGCAATCTTTCCGCAGGCGGTATTTCACCTGACGCTCAGGACTCCTGTATATCAGTGTTGTTGTCGTGACACTGATCACAAACTGGATCCGATAACATAAACTGTGCAGGGAACACGCAGTAATGGAAGCTGTTTGTGTTTAAAAGTCATTCAGAGCAGAAGCATTCACATAAATTAATCGCACAGTAACTTACAGAGAGGAATTAACATATGATATAATTATAGACCATAAAGGTGGATGAAATATTATGGGAACAGTGGCTGTGTAGTGACATGATCAGCCAATACTGGCCCTGCACACATCAATCTCAGTCTCCTTGCACAGCACGGACAACACAGTAACACTTTTACAAAACTTGTTATATTAGTGTACTGTAATTCTTTATAACCCATCTACTGAGGTGGCCCTGAGTGCTCAGTGCACTGCAAATAAAGACACGTGCAAAAAGACAAGCAGTACAAGAAAATTCAACAAACGTATTCACACATTTTACAAAAAATAATGGAACCGCAACCAGAAAGAACTGTAGCGTTAGCATTTTCCTTTTTATTTGACCAGCCATTTAAAATATAACAACATCAAATAAAACGACAAAAAGTTACTAGTAGATAAAGTTATGTTAGTTCTCTGTAACATTAGAAGTTACGTATATCACCTATCATAGTTGACAAGCGGGTTTAACTACAGATAAACAGGCTAACGGTATGTTAACTACGTTAGCTTGTTAGCTATAGCTATTTTCAGATTCGTCTTTATGTAACGCAAATTGTTTAATTTCTGTTTTAAAATGAGTCAAATAAGTTGCTATTTTGACTGCACGTATATATATTTTTTAAATATATACTTGTTGTTTCTGTTATAAAACAATAGCAGTAGTTAGCCAGTTTGGTTAGCCATGCCAGTAAAAACTACCGGTACTTTAAATTGCTTATCCCTTATTAGGGAGGATGAAAGTTACTATTTGCGTTACAGCTAACAGGCTAACGTAACGTTAGCTCTCTGTAACAAACCTATTTAGTTGAATAGGCAGGCTAATTAACCTATTCATTTTAACGCTGTTGGTTACCTGTGCTGATCTTGTTAGCAAATTAATGTTAGCCTGACTACAGCAGAGAAAAAAATGCAAACGGCTTAATCATTTAGCTAACATGCTAACAACAGTAGTATAGTAAGCTAGCGTTGGCAAACTGAAAGACTTAGTACACGTTTTTTTGGTACCACTTTACAATAAGACTACCCTAATAAAGGATTCATAAAGGGTTTATAATTAGGTTATGAATTAGGTTGTAAACACTTTATTAATCATTAAGAACCATTTATAAACCAGTTCTAACATAGTTTGCATACATCAACACAGGCTCACTATTTGGCAAGATGACTAAGCCTTATATTGGCTACTTAGCGAGAATCAACTCAGTGAACAACAGATACCAAGGATGCTGGCTGATGAAGAAGACGAAGTAAGCTAAGTAGCCAATATAAGACTTAGCAGTACAGATAAATGTGGGCTAACGCTGGGATGTTGTGTTTTTTCTAGGGATGTCAACGTTAACGCTTGTGATTAATCTGTCAACGTTAACCCATTAAAGAAATGTACGTTTATCAATCACATTATCCAGTGTTGTCTTGTAATTCCATTTCAGATAACATGAATGCATGGCAGTAAAAAGACAAAGAAAACGGAGGAAATGGCAAAGCTACATGTATTGCACTGACTGGAGACAACTAGACATTAGTGAGTAAACATCACTATACCTCTGTGTAACGGCACAACAAGACCCCCTACGACTATTTTATACTCTGGCTTACAATACTTTCACACATTTATTTTCTGTTACTGACAGACATGGGCTTCCAGAGGCACCTTAATGCAAATCTTCCATCCACCTTGAAGACACTGAAGTGAGATATCTTAAAAACCTGGACAGACAAAACCAAAACGATCTAATATTCTATATCTAATGAGGTAAGTGTTAACTGACCCTATTACAGCACACTGTTAATTTTCCTCATCAATCACAAATATTGCTATTTAACCCGTTTGAGTGATGCTCTCTTCTCTTCTTCTTGTCGTGCTCTTCACACAGATCAGCAGTTATGTTATTTAGCTCTGTGTGATTGCAAAAACAAACACGAATGGCCGCTGTTCACTTTATTCTAATTGAAGTATGGCACAGCCTCATCCATTCACACAAGAGCCTCAGTCAAATAGTCGAGGCTGGCAAACTCCCAACATGGCAGTGAGGCAATTAGCCGTCCTGCAGTGTTTGTTATTCATGGTTTGATGTAAAAATGTGTTTATTAAGATGGGCTGCAGGCCCCGGTGTGCAATAGACCTGCTTGTAATTAGATTCCAATTATTTGTCTGTTTCTGATATTGTAAACTGGCACTTACCACATCAGTTAAATTGACACAGCGCACTGCTTGGTTTACTCGGTAATTAAAACGTGTTCTGTTAATTAGATGATGACCACTTTATTCCAGGGCTCTTGTGTTTGGGCTCCTCGGCGGCTCGCTGTTTGGATCATGAGTTGCCAGACGCTTCCCTAATCAGCCCTTGTTTTGTTTCAATTACCACCTGCTGTTCAAAAGGCATGCCTCGCTGCCCCCACCCCTACACACACACACAGATATATGCACACATACACAACAATAACTGGAGGCCTGCTTTACTACCAGCTCCAGCTCCAACACAACAATCAGGATTTCACAGCTGGGCCTGCTTTCTTCTTTATTAGAAGGCACAGCTAGGTTTCTAAGAGAGTCCAAGCAATTAAAAAGGGAACTAAAGGAAGATGAAAGAATAAAGGTACTTATCACATCAGTTAGCAGGCCTCGTGTGAGTAGCCAATGGTAATTATGCTCATTGAGTAAACAGCTGAGATGCTCAGATGTCTCCTTCGCTTGGCTAATGTTGGATCCACTAACTGAAGATGACTAATAATATAATGCAGGTGCTGATGGGAACTAAATGATACATTGCTCATGTTTTTATAGCAAGCCAAAATCCACAATTGTTCTCTTTTTCTCTAAAATTAGTTTCAGTGTAACATTTGGCTGTCAGGACCACTTTAGTGAAGTTTTACGTCACGAATTAAAGTTTATTTTAGAGTCTGGAAGTAATAGTTTGACAAACAATGCCAATTCAATTTCCCAGTCTTTTGCCATATCGTTCCGTTTTTATTTGTGGATGGAGAAAGCTCAGTTGTTAGATCATTTGACACGTTAGTTGATTAAGTGTTTCATCCATCACTTTAAGGACCTTCAGTCAGTGTTGAGGCCAAGTCAAGACTGAATCCACGATAAATACCAGCCCCTGCTTGGCTCTACTCTTCAATCTATGATGCTCCATGTACGATCGTAGATTTACTCGGGCACTTCAGGACTGCCTCTAGTGGCCGTAAGAATTATGATTGTGAAAAAGGAGCAAGTCAGATGATGTAGTAGCAACAAATGCGTCAAAAAAAAGACAGGACTTACACGATGGGAAACCAAGTTATTGTTTGGATATTACAAATTTCATTAAGAAACATATTCACTTAAAGGTGGGGTAGGTAAGTTTGAGAAACCGGCTCGAGATACACTTTTTGTTATATTCCCTGGAATGCTCTTAACATCCCGATAGCAATGAATATATTAAGTGCTTTGACAAAAAATCCATTAATAAATGTCATCTGTGGAAGCCGTAGTACTGTAAAAAGCACGACCAATCATTTTAGCCGGCCCGGCTAAAATAACTGGATGGCCTACCT